AGATTGCTTTTCTCCTTGATTAGTTTCCATCCGTTGCTTCTTGTCCTGCCTTCAGGTGCTTTGGAGAATAGCTTGACTCCCTCCTCTTTGGGGCAGCCCCTGAGATACTGGAGCACTGCTATCCTGTCCCCCCTGGCCCTTCTCTTCATTAAATTAGACGTACCCAATTCCAGCAACTGTTCCTTATATCTTTTAGCCTCCAGTCCTCTAATCATCTTTGTTGCACAGTATTAGCATGATAAGGGTCTATGGGATTCAAGGAAGTTCATTTGTGGCTATGTACAGATTCTAGGTTGATCCTTATTTTCACTCCACCCCCAGGTTCTGCCCCTCCTTCTCCTACAAAATGATTGCACAAGTGAAGCCACAGTTTAGACTTTTTTTTTAACCTCCCCCTCTCCAAATGAATTTGCCTGGGGCAAATAGTTTTTAAATACCCACATGTTAGACATATATAGAATCTGAATCATGATATTTCTAGTATCTATTTTTACCGTTCTATGCCCGTCCACCATGAATGGGTGGTTGTTCATTACTGCAGGAAAAAATATAGAACTGGAGGAAACCACGCACAAATGAAGCTAATCAGGGAAAGATGGATGGGAATAAACAAAGTCAGTGTAGTTCTCATCCCACACAATCTCTACATTCCTGATTTGTGGGTGCAGTACGGTTTCCATGCTGTTTCTGTAATTTTTAAAAAATTAGATTCTTTGTGCTGGACCTGGAATATTTCAGTTCTGAGAACATTTAGCACTGTAATATAAAGCAGAGATTCCCCAACCTTTTGGGCACCAGGGACCAGTTCCGTGGAGAGAGGTTTTTCCGCAGACCGGAGGGGGCATGGTTTTGTGTACTGCCTGCATCTCGCGGATGGGGCGTTGCTTGTTTGCGCGGACCGATTGTTGGCATGCTGTGGCCCAGTACTGGTCCGTGGTCCGGGGGTTGGGGGCCCCCGATATAAAGGATCTGCGTTCTCCAGGAAGAGAGCGGGAAGCTCGTGTAGACATCTGGAAAAAGTTGCTCTTCTGGTGCAGACCAACTACAGTGTTGGAGTCTCATTCGTAAACCCCATACAAATGGAACAATTTATTAGCTAGATCATTGTTCTTGAGAACAATAGTGCAGGAGCCACACGTTATGATAAATCACTGAAAATGTTCTTCAACAAAGAACAGGTCAAAGAAACAATGGTGACGTGGGCGATAGATCTAGGACATAATATTAATTTGGATCAGTGGCAGCAGGTGTGGATGCGAAACAATAAAATCACATTGGCGTCAACATATAAAGAGAATTTGTATAAGATGGCTTACAGATGGCATCTCCCTCCAGCCAGATTAGCCAAAATGTATAATGGATATTCATCTATGTGTTGGAAATGTAAAAAAGAAAGGGTCACTTTTTTTCATGTTTGGTGGACATGTAGGAAAGCACAGGTGTATTGGCATATGGTCTGGGAATGGGCAATAGAAATGACTATGCAAAACATTCAGTACAAACCTGAGACATTGCTGTTAGGAATACTTGGAAAAAATGTACCGTAAGTAAAGATGACACATACTTATTCATTCACGTGGTTACAGCAGCAAGGATATTATTTGCTCAAAAATGGAAAGCTACGCAAATTCTGCGCAATACAGAATGCATGAATACATGAATTCTGCGCAATACATGATTTTCTGAATTAATGTTTCCCCGAGTGGGGAAACATTAATTCAGAAAATCACGTATTGCGCAGAATTAGACAGGATAACTAAAAGATTAAAAAAGCAGGATGAATCAGACTTTTATCAAATATGGAATACATTTTATAGATGGTGGGGGAAAAATGGAGGTCATTGTAATGAGAAAAGTCAAGATTGAGATTAGAATGATGTTCCTGTAAAGAGATTTATTTGTAATTAATGTAAATATGGACTGAGATGTTTGTCAAATGTTGATTTACCATGTTCAATGTTTTTAATTCCTTTTTTTATTCAATAAAATTTTTTAAAAAAGAAAAGAAAATGTTCTTCAACAACATCAGCAGTGACAAATTGCACAAAATTGTGTGAAATTCCCTTGGAAATTTCTTTGCTACTTTGCCTCCAGACGTTGTGGGTGCTCCAACACTGGAGGTTTTTAACAAGAGGTTGGACAACCTTTTCTCTGAAATGGTATAGGGCAGGGGTGTCAAACTGCCGGCCCGCGGGCTGGATGCGTCATCTGGAAGCCGCGCCCACCCCATTGTCGGCAATGGCAAAACCGTCCCGATACGTTGCGCAACGCCACGTGACGTTGCGAGTTTGACATGTCTCATATAGGGTTTCCTGCTTGAGCAGGAGGTTGGACTAGAAGACCTCCAAGGTCCTCCCAGCTCTGTTATTCTGTATTCTACTATTTTTAAGAGAGAGATCATCATGGGATGCGTTAAAGATCAAATCCAATTTCCATCATTGACTTATTGGGCACGAACACACCTCTGTCTCTCAGCCTTGGTGTCAACACCTTTACAACAGAGCACAATCAAGGAAGTAAGAATTACATAGCTCCCCATAAGAAGCTTTTAATACAAGAATTAGCAGTAAGGTGCAAAATTTGGAAAGAATAGGAGTTTGCAGACCTCTGAGATCATTAAGGTAGATCATATTTGGAAGTTCTGGATGTCTTCTTCACAGGATTTCTGTACCTTAGCTGGACTGACTGAGCTGCCATTTATTTGATGAGCTACTAACAAATTCTTTAATTTGTTGATGGTTTATGTCTAGAGTGCCTCTGGTTTTGTTGTGGGTGCTCCAACACTGTTGTGGGCGCTCCAACATGTGGGTGCTCTAACACTCTTTAAGAAGAGATTGGACAATCATTTGTCTGAAATGGTATAGCGTTTCCTGCTTGAGCAGACTAGAAGACCTCCGAAGTCCCTTCCAAATTTGTTATTCTGGTTTCTTCCTCAGCTTCCTAACAAACTTTCACAATTAGGTCCCCATCTATTAACTGGGATTAATGCGATCTGTCTTTTGCGCACTGCTGAAAGAAAAATCAGGTCTAGTTCCAAGCCGGGAGTAAGATGCTGGAAATAAAATGGAGGCTGGCTGCTTAGGAAAGAAGGTTTAATGGTGAACAGAACCAACCGCAGCATGTAGTTCTGGGACAGCTGACAAATTGATTTGATGAGTACAGGGATTTTGATACAGTTTTACAGCATCTCGTCATTTGGAGGCTTGCTTTGTGTGCTTTTGTTATTAGATTTGTTTAGCTTGTTTCGCAAAGGCTAGCAATGGGTCTAAAATACTGTCTTCCTTGGGTTTTAATCCTGTCAAACAAATGTAATTAATTTTACCCTCTTATCTTTAGTCTGTCTATTGCAGTGGTTCTCAACCGGTCGTAAGTCGAGGACTACTCAACTGGTACAGCACCGTTTGCAGAATGGGACTTTTGGTGGGCTCAGCAGGGCAGAGGCAGCCTGGACAATTCCTATTGGCTTTTGAAAGCCAATAGAATTAGACTCTATTCAAGTTGAGAACCACTGGTCTATTGCCTCCATTAGCTCTCTTTGTGAATCAACTGGCTTGATTCAATGTTAAAAAGGATTGGGGGGAACATTATTACCACAGCACTTTGAAAACCATGAAACCTTTTGAAGCTCAGAAACTTGCCACAAACACAAGTGTTAAACATACGGTACCTTATTCTGAAATCCTTGCGTCTGATTGATTAGGTTACTTAACAGCAGGTCCGTGCGCTCGGCCTTTCTAAAGGCATTGATAGAAAGAGGGTATGCCCCATCACAATTTGGATCGCCACAATATTTGTTGCCCTGCCTGTCATGACACAAAGCCCCGCCACACTCTGCCACGGCACACGACACGTTTCCTGGCATCCCACACACCTGCAGGAAAATACAAGCCAGGCAATTCATACCGAAGTGGCCAGCAAACACATTATTAAGTGTGTTTTCATTCTGCAACCCAAATTTACTGGGAGATGACCAAGATTAATTCACATTTCACTACTTCATGAGCATTGAATATTTTTTTAAAAAATAGTGTACAGGTAGTCCTCAACTTACACCAGTTCATTTCGTGACCGTTCAAAGGTTACAGCAGCACTGAAAAAAAATAACTTACAACCGGTTCTCACCCTTACGACCGTTGCAGTCAGGGTGATCCAAATTCACATGCTTGGCAACTGGTTCATATTTATGACGGTGTCCCTGGGGATCATGTGATCCTCTTTTGTGACCTTCTGACAAGTCAATGGGGGAAGCTAGAATCATTTAACAACCGTCGTGTTATTAACTTAACAACCATAGTGATTCATTTAACAACTGTGGCAGGTAAGATCATCAAATAGGACAACACTGAACAACTTTCTCGCTTAGCAACCAGAAATTTGGGGAGTTCTGGTCGTAAGTCGAGGATTACCTGGACAATAGTTAAAATCACAGTGATTGAATAATATGTCTCAGGACAAGTGATTGAATAATATGTCTCAGGACAGCTTAATACAGTGGTGGCGAACCTATGGCACGTGTGCCAGAGGCTGCACTCAGAGTTCTCTCTCTGGGCACGCGCGCCATCGCCCCAGCCCCGCTTCCCTCCACGGCCCTCTCCTCACCAGCAACCCCCCTGGAGGAGAGTCGCCCCTGGGTGCGGCCCACGCGGAACAGCGCAGCCAAGGACATGGCAGCCGGGCAGCGGGGACAAGACTCCGCCCTCACGCCCCTTCACGTGCAGATGATGCTGCGGGGAGCGGGCAGAGGGCGTGGCCACCATGGTGCTGCTGGGCTACCTAGGCGATCTGCGGCAGGCCATGGAGGCAGTGGGTGGCCCGTGGGGCGGGGCGGGGACGATGGGGGGGAGTTGGGCACTCAGTCTCTAAAAGGTTCGCCATCACTGGCTTAATATAAGGACAACATATGTGATATCTCATTAGCTCTGATCCTGATGTATCCCCTTCTAGGTGTTTCTTTTTTCCAAGAAATTAATTATCTTACTTTTTCATTTAGGTCTTCGATTTCTGAAACTGTGAACGTCCTCAGCTGATCCAGCGTAATGTTTTCCTTTACGTCCAGGTCGTTCAGGAGGGCAAACACCTTGTTCCTTACGTTTCCTCCATAAGCTATGATGGATTTGGCTCCCTGGATTCTCTTCTCAGCAGCCAACGTAATTTGATAATAATTCTTTATTTTGTTGAAAAAATCTAAATCGAACGACAAGGTCATTTAACCAGGGCGCTTCCCACAAGACATCAATAAATTGAGCAAATGTAAACTTAAGTACTATAATAAGAGTAAACCCTTTGTTATCATTTACAGTTTTTTTTATTATTAATCTTTTTACCGTATTTTCTGGCGTATAAGACGACTTTCTAAAGCGTGGAAATCGGCGCCGAAGTTGGGGGTCGTCTTATAAGCCGAGTCGTCTTATATGCCAGAAATTACGGTAGTTTCCGGTGTATAAGATGACTTTCTAGGCATGGAAAGCAACGCCGAATTCGGGGGTCATCTTATATGCCGAGTCGCCTTATATGCTGGATATGTTGCTGCAATTAAGGACAACCGGTTCTCCGTGTGGATGCTGCTTCCGGAAGTCCGTTCTGGGCAACAAAAAATTGCGAACTGGCTGAATTCCACCACTGGTTATAAGTCAAGGACTATCTGTGATTTAAGGTTGCTAGTTATATGAATATACTTTACTTTGGCCTGTCTTATTTGCTGCTTTCCAGCTGTGTTGGTCTACAATTCCCACATTTTCTAGGCATAAATAATTATCTGGTTGTGGGACGATGGGTGTTACAATCCCACGTATCTAGAAGACTTTAGCAGCAGGCTGCTATATATTTTACGCCATAATTAATACAAAAATTAACACAAAATACAAAAAGTTCACTGTTTTCAATCACTAAATGAACGATTGTTAAATTGAGGACTATCTGTAAAAAGCATCCGTCCCCAAATGGTTTGTGAACAAGTTCTGTTTTTGAGCTATTAGAGAAGATGCTTTGAAATGTTTTCAATTGGTGAAAACTTTTAATTTTTAATTCCTGGCCTGCTTACCTTGGAACTGTAGGTAAGTCATCCCGCAATGCAGATCTTTTCTCTTCTGCAGGGTTTCAGAAAGATTGTCAACATCTTTGTGTAGGTTTTCAATTACACGGTGGAGATCAGGAAACTGATCCAGTGGTCCAGGTTGCAGAAACATGTGAGAAACTTTTTGTCTAAAAAGAAAAATAGGTCAACGATTACGTTAGATTTAACGTTAAGATTAGCGCTTGACCTCACTTTAGTACATCGCTCGATACTGGATCCATTTGTCTGTTTTTTTTTCCAGAAGTGGCACTTGAGTGTACACACATAGACTTGGAGATCCTCTGAACAGCATTTAATTAAAAGTATTTGCAAGTGATGTATTCAGGGGTTCAAAATAAATTTCATACAGATATATGATAGGTTGGCAAGGAACGTAAATTTGGACCACACCATTCTGGACCCTTTTAGAAATTAAAAGATGTCAACATTTAATCCATCCATCCATGCATACATACATACATATTTATTTATTGTTGCATCAAGCTAGTGGAGAAATCAATTCTTTGGGAAAAATAACGTCAAACATCATGAATACAGGTCATCCTCGACTTACAACGGTTCATTTAGCGACCGTTTAAAGTTACAACGGCCCTGAAAAAAGTGACTTAGGGCTGTTTTTCACACTTACGACCGTTGCAGCATCCCCAGGGTCACGTGATCAAAATCCGGACGCTTGGCAACGGGCTCGCATTTATGACGGTTGCAGTGTCATGTGATCCCCTTTTGCAACTGTTTGACAAGCAAAGTTCACGGGGAAGTCAGATTTACTTCTGGTCCTAAATTGAGGACTACCCGTATTTATACCGGTGATTTTTAGAAAGTAGGAAACACATAAACCCGCATGAAGCATTAGTACCGCTTTGTAAAGCCTTAGTAAGGCCACACCTGGAATACGGCATCCAGTTTGGGTCACCATATTACAAAAAAAGATGTTGAGACTTTAAAAAAAAAAAAAGTGCAGAGAAGAGCAACTAAGATTATTAAAGGTCCGGAGACGAAAACATGAAGAACGATTGCAGGAATTGGGTCTGGCTAGTCTAGAGAAAAGAAGGACCAGGGGTGACATGATAGCAGTATTCTAGTATTTGAGGGGCTGCTACAAAGAAGAGGGGGTCAGCCTAGTCTCCAAAGCACCAGAGGACAGGACAAGAAATAATGGATGGAAACTAATCAAGGAGAGAAACAACCTGGAATTAAGGAGAAAGTTCCTAACAGTGAGGACAATTAACCAGTGGAACAACTTGCCACTAGAAGTGGTGGGTTCTCCATCACTGGAGGTTTTTAAGAGTCTGGGCAGTCACTTGTCTGAAATGATATAGGGCAGCGGTTCTCAACCTGTGGGTCGGGACCCCATTTGGGGTCGAACGACCATTTCACGGGGGTCGCCAAACAACGCAGTCTGCCATTTCCCCCCCCCCTTTTCCTTAGCTGTGCTCCTCCCTTTTATTCTATTGGCTTTTGAAAGCCAATAGAATAGACTCTCTTGAATAGAGTCTAATTATATTGGCTTTCAAAAGCCAATAGGAATTGTCCAGGCTGTCTCTGCCCTGCTGAGCCCGCCAAAAGTCCCAGTCTGCAAACGGTGCTGCAAGTTGTCTGCAGCGAAGGCGAGCTGTCTGGACATTTCCACCCCTCCCTGCTGAGCAACTACTAAAAATGTAAGTAAAAGAGGGCCAAAGGTGGGAGGTGGGAGGCCGGCGGACGCAGGGAGGGTTGCTGGCGCATGTGGGGCCCGGCGGGTGCCTTATCTCCCTTGGGCTGGGCCAGCTGGTGGCCCATCCGGTGGTTGGCCTGCGCTGTCTCTGCTGCTTGCCAGCTATGCCTCGGCCGGCGCAGGGGGCGGCACCACGCATGCGCAATGCTCCTGGGCAGGAAAAGTCCTCGACTTACGACCGGTTGGGTAGTCCTCAACTTACGACCGGTTGGGGGTCGCGGCATTAAAAAGGTTGAGAACCACTGATATAGGGACTCCTGCTTGAGCAGGGGGCTGGACTAGAAGACCTCTCCAAGGTCCCTTCCACCTCTATGATTGATTGATTGATTGATTGATTGATTGGATGGATGGAAGATTTTTAAGAAGAAATTGGACAACGATTTGTTGAAAATGGCATAGGGTCTCCTCCTTTTAAGCAGGGGGTTAGACTAGAAGACCTCCAAGGTCCCTTCCAGCTGTATTCTGATCGACCCAGATTTATTTATTTATTTATGAGACTTATATACCGCTTTAAGTGCAAGCACTCTCTAAGTGGTGTACACCAGTAAGCAATGTATATATATATATATATTTACATTGCCCCCAACAATCTGGGTCCTCATTTTACCTACCCCGGAAGGATGGAAGGCTGAGTCAACCTTGAGCCGGTGAGATTTGAACCGCTGACCTGCTGAACACAGTCAGCTAAAGTGGCCTGCAGTACTGCACTCTAACTGCTGCGCCACCTCGGCTCTCTTCCAGCTGTACGATTCTATGAAACAACTTACCTAATATTGTCCTGGACTTTTTTAATATTCAAGAGCACCTCGGACGATGGGAAAGGCCTTTTCAAGACCTTTCCTAGGTCAGACATTTTCTTTTCATAGCCCTTAAAGTTGAAATCGCAGCCCGGCGTTGCTTTCCTCTTCTCCGCGAGCGTTCCCGCGAATTTCAATAATTTCTGGATTCTCCGCGACAAAGAACTCATGACCTTATCCCACCGATCAAAGCAAACGTGACAGCGAGAGCAGGAGGGGAAGGCTTGATTGCGGTTGCGCGCGCACCGATCGCAGCGCTCCCCAGAGACTCCAGTGCGGCAATGACACACTCCAGTGTCCTTATCACAAGCAGGAGTCAGAGTGCCCTCCTTGTGACACTTGCATTCTGCCGAGGAGAGAAACAATGGTGTTCAATTGGTGAGAAGGAAAAGGCGGAAAATAAATAAATAAAGCAAGACAGGCCGCCCTCGACTTACGACCAGGACTGAGCCCAAAACTTTTATGTTGCTAAGTGGGAAAGGTGTCGAGTTTTGCCCCATTTTATGACTTTTCTTTGCCGCATTTGTTAAGCGAATCTGGGTCCTCGTTTTACCGACCTCGGAAGGACGGAAGTCTGAGTCATCCTTGAGCCCCGTCAGGATCGAACTGCTGACAGTCGGCAGAGTTAGCCTACAATACTGCACTTTAACTATCGCACCACCAGTCAATAAAGCTACGATGCCATCTTCTTTACCTACATATAGTAGTGGCCAAAATGGTGGAAACCTTTTGGGAAAAGTGTACAGTAGAAATGCCACCTTTGGTTAAGTTTCCACCCATTTTTCTTCTCATTTCTTTATAACTGTAGCCTTGTTCACTTCATAATACTATTTTACATTGCTTTCTGGGCAACCAGTCAACTCTTTGCACCATGACTTTAATTTTATTATGTTTTACAAGCTCACTAAATGAAAGAACGCAAAAAAAAACCTAACCAACTTAGCGATAGCGATCACATAACACACCGACAAATGTCCCCCTCTCAGCTTCAATACAGGACATCAATCACTGGATCCTACTGTGATCTGATTGGCTCATGGCCAAAACAAGATGACACCTGATTGGCTCTCTAAACACTCATACTCATTGGCTACAATCAGATGAAGAAAAGCTACCTGAGATCAACCTAAGCAAGTTGGGCTTCCTTTTTCTGGTTATTTGGCTATAACTTTTCATAGAATACAGTACAGATAATTGAACCAACTTTGTTGCATTACATTCTTGATTAAATTATCTTTCCATTGATATATAATTTTATGGTACTACTCCAAAAAAAAAAGTAATGTTATTAGCCATCAACCCTCAAAAATACACTTTTCCCAAAAGGTTTCCACAATCTTGGCCACTACTGTATGTATGTTATGCCATAATTAATACAAAAATTCTTGGACTCATTAAACTTTATAAGTCTAACAAACTCAGTCTACTTACCGATACAATCGATGCCATAATGATTTTCAGCACAGATGTCACAACGTCTTCCGGCATAACCTACTTCACATGAACACTGACCTGTAAGCTGTAAAAAGGGTGTGCAGTTAGAGATTTGCAAGGGGGAACGTAAGCGAGGTCATTGTGCTTCAGCCAGATCCTGTTGGCTGCAAATCACAGCTTGTTTCATTGTTACAAATTGGCCCTTCAAGGTAGTCCAGACAAGAAGCAGAACCATGAATACTAACTCTATTGCAAGGTGGTTTGTTGTTGTTCAGTCACTAAGTCATGTCCGACCCTCCACGACCCCATGGATCACAGCGTGCCAGGCCCCCTTGTCTTTCACTGTCCCCTGGAGTTTGCCGAAATTCACGTTCATTGCGTTGATGACCCTATCTAACCATCTTCTCCTCTGCCGTCCCCTTCTCCTTTTGCCTTCCATCTTCCCCAACATCAGGGTCTCTTCTCCAAGGAGTCCTCTCTTCTCATTTGGTGGCCAAAATATTTGAGCTTCAGCTTCAGGATCTGTCCTTCCAAAGGATGGTCTGGGTTGGTTGCCTTTAGGATCGACTGATTGGATCTCCTTGCAGTCCAAGGGATTCTCAAGACTCTTCTCCAGAACCACAATTCAAAAGCATCAATTCTTCGGCGCTTATGGTCCCAAATCTCATAGCCATACATTACTATTAGGGAAACCATAGCTTTGTGTTGGAATACAGTGTTCATGCATCTTGTACAATTATAGCTGTATTCAGTAGAGATATATATTATTCAACCAGTAGGTGGCAGTGTTTATACATTTGTAGTTGCATCTATGGCATACACCAGGGGTCCTTAACCCCTGGTCCGTAGACCAGTACCAGGCCATGGCATGCCAGCAAGCGGTCCTCACAAACAAGGAAAGCCTTATCCACAGGATTCAGGCAGCACACAAAACCACGCCCCCTCCAGTCCACGGAAAAACCTCTCTATGTAACTGGTCCTTGGTGCCCAAAAGGTTGGGGACCTCTGATATACACTATGTCTTTTTTCTGAATAAAGTTTCCTGCTTTCTTGTCGCAGTTAAGGAGAAAAGCACATGTGGACTGTGCATTGTCTGTTCTGTAGGGCTTTGTTGTTCATTGCGAAGTCGTGTCCGACTCATTGCGACCCCATGGACAACGTTCCTCTAGGCCTTCCTGTCCTCTACCATCTTCATTGAAGCTCACGCCGACTGCTTCAGGGACTCCATCCAGCCACCTCCTTCTCTGTCATCCCCTTCTTCTCTTGCCCTCCATCTTTCCCAGCATTAGGCCCTTCTCCAGTGAGTCCTTCCTTCTCATTAGGTGGCCAAAGTCCTTGAATTTCAACTTCAGGATCTGGCTTTCTAAAGAGCAGTCGGGGTTGATCTCCTCTAGGACTGACCGGTTTGATCTGCCTTGCAGTCCAGGGGACTCGCAGGAGTCTTCTCCAGCACCATAGTTCAAAGGCCTCCATTCTTTGGCGCTTGGCCTTTCTTATGGTCCAACTTTCGCAGCCATACATTGCAACTGGGAAAACCATGGCCTGGACTATGCGCACTTTTGTTGGCAGGGTGACGTCTCTGCTTTTTAGAATTTCTAACACCTTGACAATACAGACCTTTGTTGGCAAGGTGATGCCTCTGCTTTTTAATCTGCTGTCTAGGTTTGCCTTAGCTTTCGTCCCAAGGAGCAAAGCATCTTTTAATTTCATGGCTGCCGTCACCATCTGCAGGTAACAGAATCTTGCAAGCACACTCACCTTTACAGTCCAAGACACTAGGGAGTGTCCTTTCTGAGATGTTTACCATGTCCTCCCTCCTTCTGAGGGCAGAGAAATATTATCCATGCTGCTTGGCCAGTTTGTAACTCTTCCTCCAGCCTCCCAAGCTCATTCTCACAGACCATTATGTATTACGATAAGATGATTCAGTTTAATACATTTTAGGTCCCTGGCCTTCCACCATATCCTTTCATTTTAAAAATAAAGCAAGAAGCTCAAGAATCTTGCCTGATCACAAACATTGTTTATGGAATGTTTGGGATGGCAGCCACAGGGACAGCAGCCTCTTCTCTGGACCATGTTCCAGTAGCCAGGAGCACATCGGTCACACTTCTCGCCTGTCACATGAGGTGAGCAAGGGCACTGGCCCGTGGTCTGATCACAAGTGCAAAAGTCACTTCCAGGTGGGCATTTTGCTGGATTCACACCCGAAAGGTTGCAGTTACATTCTGAAAAGACATCGTGATAGAAGGATGATCCAAGATTTAAGATCAGAGCATCAATCAAGAAGCAAACTATACCCCAATCAACAAATTGCCAAACAAGTTAACAGTAAACAGCCTAACCAAAGATCACCACTACCAACACTGACAAGGTAAGCCACTAGAATATAAACTGAGAGCAAACCCCACTCCTTACTAGCACTGATGATGTTATCTAGTTGGGTAATGAAACATCTGCAAGAAAACAACCAAGCTCAGAGAGCACCAAGGACCCCCAGATGATCAAATTAGCAAATATTTTCCTACTACCATGTTTAATTAATTAACATTTATCTCTGGCACTGTTCCAGTTGGTTCTGGTGCCAAGAAAGACACATTAGGGTTCTTCAAACAATTTCCTTTATTGTTCTCCATCTAGAGACAGAAAACTTGCCAAACTAAAGAAGACTACTTGCGCATAAAACGTATATTCTGGAAACTGTTAGGGAGGAGCTGTCTTCACCCTCTTTCTCTCACATAAGCTAAACTTCGCTGTCTCGTGCTGCTCTGGCATGCAGCCCCTCCCTCTCTGCTGAAATCCAGACTACGTTCCACCACAATTACTTACTTTCACAATTCCTCAGAAGTGCTGATCCAAAGTAACCAGGTTTACAGAATTGACAGTTGGGTCCATGAGTGTTGTATAAACATTTCAAACACTCTCCAGTGTCCTTGTTGCAAGACTCTGGGTCTGCCATATCCGTGTTGTTGTTGCAGGAACAAGGAAGGCATTGACTTGGGGCTACCCTTGGATTCCCATAGAACCCACTGGAGCACTCATCACAGCGGTCACCTACGAGTGTGAAAGTCACACACAATTACAAATCAGTTAAATGTACTGATAGGTAGGTTGGTTATTACAAGATTAATTTTTCCAGCACAAACCAACCAACCTGTTAATTACTAGTAAAAGCCCATTGGATCAAACTGCTGGAATTCATTGTTGGAATGTATTTCTATGCAACAAATACAATAGTATTCAGTCAGTAGTTGGCAGTATTTACACATTTGAATCTATAGTATATACTCTATGCTCTTTTGTCTTAAGTAGAGTTTCCTCTTTCCTGTTACAGTAAAATAATTGAGCAGTAAAGCACATGGTGACTGTACTCTTTGGTGTTTTATATAAACAGAATTTCCTACACAAACACTTAGGTTTCCTGCTTCCTCTTGCTTTAGAACATAGCATAGCTTCCCAAACAAGACATGGAATGATATGATATTGTTGTGAATCTTTAGCCACAAAGCACAATCTATAGATGGTGAGTTTCCTACCTGAGTATCCCGCAAAGCATTTGCAGACTAATTGTTTGGTCCAAGGGTCTTGGAAGCAGGAATGCGCAAAATATCTCTTGCTGGTTGGGGAATCTGGGCACATGCAAGGACGACAAGGTTTTCCTTCCAGAGGATTTCCATAATACCCATCCAAACACCTGCACCAAACATAGTAAATAGTGAATATTTTTTAAAAAATACTACATCGCGTAAAATAGCTAAAACGTCATCTTAGAAAAGTAATCAGTCTAAATAAGTACTACAAAGACAGAGCGTATAAACCAGTGGTTCTCAACCTTTCTAATGCTGCGACCCCATAATACAGTTCCCCATGTTGTGGTGACCCCCAACCACTTATACATCACCGGGTGCCAGGGGCGTGGCCAAAGAAAAGGGAAAAAAATGGCGGACAGCCTTGTTTGGCGACCCCCGTGAAATGGTTGTTCGACCCCAAATGGGGTCCCGACCCACAGGTTGAGAACCACTGGTATAAACATATTGTGATGGACTGTGCACCTGGAGAAGGATTAGAATTAAAATAACAGAGTTGGAAGGGACCTTGTAGGTCATCTAGTCCAACCCCCTGCACAAACAGGAGACCCTACACTATTTCTGACAGAGGGCAGTCCAATCTCTGCTTGAAAAGTTCCAGTGATGAAGCTTCCACAATGTCTCAAGGCAACTTCAGTTCCATTGGTTGATTGTTCTCACAGTTGGAAAATTCCTCCTTGTTTCTAGGTTGAATCTCTCCTTGATCAGTTTCCATCCGTTATTCCTTGTCTGGCCTTCAGGTGCTTTGGAAAATAGGTTGATCCACCTCTGTGAGACCCCCCCTCAAATATTGGAAGACTGCTATCATTTCTCCCCTCGTGCAATTTTATGTCAGCTCTGCATTCTGTTTATTTTTTTCAAGCCGGTCACTATCAGGTGTGCATAAATTTTGCGCTCGCTCCAACATCCATCTACTCTACCTTTCACAGTTAGATCCGGTGGTAAACCTCGTGCAGTTCCAACACACTCCCGTCTGTGGGTCGCAAAGTTCTGCCAAGCCGTTGCAAGCACAAGGGCGACAATGAGGAAACCCGAAATATCCAGCTAGGCATCGATTGCATTGCTGGCCGGCTACATCTGATCGACAAGGACACTGCCCGGTCATCTGGTCACACAGGGTGCTGACTGACCCTTGAGGATGACATCCGCATGCTTGATTGAAAAAGAAAAGAAAGCAGTTTCAGATGGCTTGTGGCTTAGTTTATGTGGGGTCCTGGGTGCCCTCTGAGCTGGGTGGTTTTCTTACAGACGTTTCATTACCCAACTAGGGAACATCATCAGTGCTAGAAGGGACTGGGCCTTGCAGAGAGGAGGAGGAGGAGGAGGAGGAGGAAGAGGAGGAGGAGGAGGAGGACTGTGCAGTCCTTGGTACTCTCTGAGCTGGGTGGTTTTCTTGCAGACGTTTCATTACCCAACTAGGAAACATCATCAGTGCTAGAAGGGACTGGGCCTTGCAGAGAGGAGGAGGAGGAGGAATCCTTCCTTCCTCCCTCCCTCCCTCCCTCCCTCCCAGAGTCACACAAATTACAAATCAATTAAATGTACTGATAGGTAGGTTGGTTATTACAAGACTAATTTTTCCAACATTCGATTCCCTCCCTTCCTATGGTAGGATTCAGGCAGTTCGCATCACCTCGGCAGAAGCGGTAGTTAATTTTTTGTTGCCCAGGCCCAGAATGGACTTCCGGAAGTGGCATCCACACAGGGAACCAGTTGTTCACATATTTGAATCCCACCACTGCACCTATGTTATACCTGTGCATTTGGTGTTTCTTGCCTAAATCAGGGGTGTCAAACTCAATTTCATTGAGGGCCGCATCAGCATTGCAGCTGCCCTCAGGGGGGGCAGGGGTGTGTGGCCAGGGTGGGTGCGGCCTACAGGGTGGGCGTGGATGGAGTGGGTGTGACCTACTGGGTGGGCATGGCCAGCTCTACATCGTTTGCGTCAAGGGTGCCTGTGGGGGCCTGGGCAGGAGTGGGACAGATCTGAGGGTCTCTGGCAGAAGGGGGTGGGACCGGGGCAAGCGCCAAGGCATGGTCCATTTCTTCATTCCTCACAAAGGGGGACACCTCCCCAGCATGCACCCAGGGGGCGGGGCCGACGTGGCAGGGGCTGGTTCCTTGCTATTTCCAGATGGCCTTGTTGAGCTAAGACCAAATGCATTTCAGCATAGATGGCCACCACAAAATTGTACATTGGCTCCCGGCCGGCCAGGTCCAGGGCCAAGCCAGTGGGGGGCCATTCCCTCACTGTTTCCAGGATGGCTTCGCGGGCCACATGAAACCACTTCGTGGGCCTCATCCGGCCCCTGGGCCTTGTGTTTGACATGTCTGGCTTAAATGTAGAACTTTTATTTTTCTCGCCACTGAATTTCATTTTGTTAGAGAAGTTTGCCTCTTTGTATATGTGTATCCAGTAAAAAAAGGTGCCATAATTGTAGGAACATAGATGGACATAGACCATTGCTTACCAAGGCAACCTTGGGGCCCAAAGCTGTGGCTTCCAGCCGCACATTTATCACAACAGCGTCCTACAACGTTCGCTTTGCATTGGCACTGGCCTCCAAGTTTTGTGCAGTGAGAATTGAGGGAACCTTGTGGGTGGCACCTGCAGGCTGTTGGGAGGAAGATGCCAAAGTAGATTTATGATGCCAAAGTTGAAAAAAGGGAGAAGAATCAAATTCCAGAAGTCCAGGTAGTCCTTGACTTACGACAGTTCATTTAGTGACCGTTCAAAGCTACAGCCGCACTGAAAAAAGTGACTTGTGACCGTTTTTCACACTTACAACCTTTGTAGCATCCCCATGGTCACGTGATTTACATTCGGACGCTTGGCAACTGACTCGTATTTATGACGGTCGCTGTGTCCCAAGGTCATGTGATCAACTTTTTGCTGCCTTCTGACCAGCAAAGTCAACGGGAGCAGCCAGATTCACTTAACAACGGTGTTACTAACTTATCGACTGCAGCGATTCATTTAACAACGGTGGCAGGATAGGTCGTAAAATGGGGCAAAACTCCCTTAACAAATGTTTCACTTAACAACAGAAATTTTGGGCCCGATTGTGGTCGTAAGTTGAGGACCACCTATATTGATAAAACACATTATACAGTAGTGGCCAAAATTGTGGAAACCTTTTGGGGAAAGTGTATTTTTGAGGCTTGATGGCTAATAACACCACTTTTTTTTGGTAGTAGTACCATGAAATTATATATCAATGGAGAGATAATTTCATCAAGAATGTAATGCAACGTAGTTTGTTCAATTATTTGTACTATATTCTATGAAAAGTGATAGCCAAATAACCAGAAAAAGGAAGCACAACTTGCTCAGGTTGATCTCAGGTAGCTTTCCTTCATCTGATTGTAGACAATGAGCATGAGTGTTTAGACAGCCAATCGGGTGTCATCTTGTTTTGGCAATGAGCCAATCGGATCACAGTAGGATTCAGTGATTGATGTCCTGTATTGAAGCTGAGAGGGGGACATTTGTCGGTGTGTTATGTGATCGCTATCGCTAAGTTGGTTAGGTTTTTTTTTGCGTTCTTTCATTTAGTGAGCTTGTAAAACATAATAAAATTAAAGGAATGGTGCAAAGAGTTGACTGGTCACCCAGAAAGCGATGTAAAATAGTATTATTAAATAAACAAGGCTACAGCTATAAAGAAATTAGAAGAAAAATAGGTGGAAACTTAACCAAAGGTGGCATTTCTATGATACACTTTTCCCAAAAGGTTTCCACAATTTTGGCCACTACTATACGTACAAACACAAATTGCAACTTTAAATTAAGCATCAGTGAACACGTGGATATAAAATAGGTGGATAATACAGTAGACGAGATAAAATATTTCAACAGGTAGACAGGCGAACACTTACGGACGGCACCGTTGTGAATACGGGCAGACAAACTGGCAATAAGTTTTGCACATGTTTCCGCTAAGATATGTGGTCCAATTTCCGAGGCACTTTCCACGCAGCGATACTGCTGATACTCTTCTAAATCATTTGGATCACAAAAGTTTTCCACAGAAGCAATGACCGGAAGGAGTCCAATCTGTAATGCAAGTCCCAAAACATGGAGGAGTTCAGCTAGTCCTTGAGATCCGACAGTTCATTTAACAACCGTTCAAAGTTACGACAGGCATCCCCAAATTACGTATGACCCTGTTTCAAAGTTACGACGGCTGCAGAGCCCCTTATGACTGACCACGGGGATGCTATTGTTTTTAGCAGTTGAAAGAAATGAATGATAATAAGATTATTGCCCGACAGTTCATATAAATGCATCGTGATTGCAAATAATCAATAAAGACTCTTGCTGAAAGTAGCAAATACGGATGAGTCAGAATGATGACTCTTTCATTTTTTTGTATCTGGAAGGAACCAGAAGATGAGCCTTCTCCGTAGTGGCTCCCTCCCTTGGGAACATCATCCCTGCAGAAATTAGATTGCCCCTCCACCCCCAATTTGACAGTCAATCAATCAGTTAGATCAATCAGAAAACAAAAGTTGTTATATATCACGGTCACTTACTGAATCAACCAGTATGGAGGACTGAGACTTTGGTTCAGGATCCGAAGTCTTGGTAAAATAGACATCTACAAAATATTCTGTCTTTGGCTGTAAGCATATAGGAGTGGATAGCAACTGGATTCTGTGGGAAAGAATTAATGCATCATTGATGGGTTTAAAAATATAGTTATTCTGGTTTTAGCATTAATTATACCAGCGTGAGGTGCGCATGGTCACCTATTGCAAATATTAGCATCCATGAGAAAGGACTGGTGGAATAAAAAGCGACTGAGACGCTATCAAATTATCCTTGGAATGTTGTTGTCCAATACATTATCAATACATGCTGGCTGGGGAATTCTGGGAGTTGAAGTCCACACATCTTAAGAGTTCCTAAGGTTGAGAAACACTGGTCTGGAATAATCTGTAATCTGGTGTTTAATGAACATGGAGTATTACATAGAGTATTTTTGGTACCGTATATCATATTTTACAAAGATCCTCTTTTAGACTTTCTGTGCATGTATGTTGGTAGGTTCTTTGTTTGATTATTAAAGTTATATGCCTCTAATCTCACTATTAAATGACTCATTTGGTTAAAGCAGGGGTCTTCAAACTTGGCCCTTTTATGATTTGTGGACTTCAACTCCTAGTCTAGTCTAGTCTAGTCTAGTCTTTATTCTCTTCTCTTCCTCTTCTCTTCTCTTCTATATTCTCTTCTTTTATATTCTCTTCTCTTCTATTTTTCTAAATTCTCTTCTCTCTTCTATATTTTGTCTTCTGTTCTCTCTTCTCTTCTCTTCTCTTCCACTCCACTCCACTCCACTCCACTCCACTCCATCTATTCTATTCTATTCTATTCTATTCTATTCTATTCTATTCTATTCTATTCTATTCTATTTTCTATCCTTACTCTACTCTACTCTATTCCATCCCCCCCACCCCATCCCATCCCATCAAACCCCATCCTGTCCCATCCATCCCATCCCATTCCATTTACATTCTTTAAAAAGTGAATACAGACCTCCTTATGGATGGTAGATCAAGAGACTGTGGTTCTTCCAGAGCAACTTGCTTTGTACAGTGTTCACTTCCTACAGGACCAGAAGACTTAACAGTAATGGTTGCTCTCCAGTCAGCTGAAGTCTAGATGTTTGGGTGAAAAAAAAAAACATCACCAAGATTCAAACAAATATTTTTAACTTTTTGAGAGATGTCAACAAGAGCACACTGAATTATTGGACCAGGAATTGAAACAGTTGTTCAATGGAGGTTGTAAAGATATATCTCATCTTTACAGATAATTGTCCCCCAGGTCAGTTGATGCTACCCCCCAAAAAAACATCATTTTTGGAGGGCAACCAACTCCAATGACATTGGCATCCAGTGGGAGTGTGTGTGTGTGTGTGTGTGTGTGTGCGTGTGTGTATGTGTGTGTGTGTGTGTGTTCAAAAGGCAAGATGGCGATTTTGCATCTGCAGCTTATTTTTGACATTGTTGAACATTGAGCAATATAATAATAACAATAACAACAACAATAATAATAAAGTTGGAAGGGACCTTGCAGGTCATCTAGTCCAACCTCCTGCTCAGGCAGGAAACCCTATACCATTTCAGACAAATGGTTGTCCAGTTTCTTCTTAAAAACTTCCAGTGTTGGAGCATTCACCGCTTCTGGAGGCAGGTAGTTCCATTGGTTAATTGTTCTAACTCTCAGAAAGTTTCTCCTTAGTTCTAGGTTGCTTCTCTCCTTGATTAGTTTCCATCCATTGCTTCTTGTCCTGCCTTCAGGCGCTTTGGAGAATAGCTTGACTCCCTCTTCTTTGGGGCAGCCCCTGAGATATTGGAAGACTGCTACCATGTCCCCCCTCATCCTTCGCTTCATTAAACTAGATAAGACACCTTTAGTAAGTGATACATTTTAATATGGGACTGTGCATTACATACTTCTCTCTTTCCCGGGACTGAGATTTATTTATTTATTTGTATCCCATCTTTATTATTTGCGACAATATAACAAAGTTGGGAGGAACCTTGGAGGTCTTGTAGTCCAACCTCCTGCTCAAGCAGAAAACCCTAAACCCTAAACCAGGGGTCCCCAACCCCTGGCCTGTGGACCGGCATTGGGCTATGCCAGGGGTAGGCAACCTTGGCCCTTTTATGACTTGTGGACTTCAACTCCCAGAATTCCTGAGCCAGCAATGCTGAGGGGAAAGGGAGAGGTTTCCAAGCTGAGCCATGCTGGTTCAGGAATTCTGGGAGTTGATGTCCACAAGTCATAAAAGAGGCAAAGTTGCCTACCCCTGCCCTAGATCAAGCTGGCTTTCTCTATACTACAGGGGTCTTCAAACTTGGCCCTTTTATGACTTGTGGACTTCAACTCCCAGAATTCCTCAGCCAGCGTGCCTGGCTGAGGAATTCTGGGAGTTGAAGTCCACAAGTCATAAAAGGACCAAGTTTGAAGACCCCTGCTATACTCTCTCTATACTGCTCAAATTCTCATTCCATTGAGAGGAATGTTGATGCTCTAATCCAGTGGTTCTCAACCTGTGGGTTGGGACCCCATTTGGGGTCGAACGACCATTTCACGGGGGTCGCCAAACAATGCCGTCCACCATTTTTTTCCCCCTTTTCCTTAGCTGTGCTACTCCCTTTTATTCTGTTGGCTTTCAAAAGCCAATAGGAATTGTCCAGGCTGTCTCTGCCCTGCCGAGCCCGCCAAAAGTCCCATTCTGCAAACGGTGCTGCACCAGTTGAGTAGTTCTCGACTTACGACTGGTTGAGTAGTCCTGGACTTGTGACCGGTTGGGAGTCGCGGCATTAAAAAGGTTGAGAACCACTGCTCTAATCAATGGTGACACAAAATCACACTATTTATATGCATTGCATCTCAAGGCCTTTTGTTTCAACAGGGATCATTCTTTGATTGCACTCTACGAGAAAATCTTTGAACCCATAATACTGATGGTTGAAAATGGAATAAACAGACAATCAAGGTAAATTTGGCAGGTTTTAGTTTAGTCTTTCAAAAACATTTTATAAGTCCAAGTACTTTGCCTATTTCAGAGCTCTCGCTTTTGATCTGGATCTCTATTAAAACACTGAAATAATTAGGGTATATAATAATTACCTCTGGCTCATAGCGAATGATGATATTAAAGTGCATCGGAAATGGAATGTTATTGATCAAAAAACGTAACCCTGCTTTGTTTCGCACACGTACAAAGCCCAGTCCTGACCACGTCACAGGTTTTCCAGGCACAACCTCTTTAATCACGATATTCAGAGCAGGGTTTCTGTTGAACGGAACTGAATTCTGAAAGATGATTTTAAAATAACAACTTTATTCTAGTAGCAAAGGGCATCCAATCTTGCTTCAAGGAAACACACTGGCAGAATTAACACAAAGCTTTTTAGTCTCTGGTCTCCCACCTTCAGATATCACTTTGGAATGAAAAGTCTGTATTTTTTTGCTTCACGTATCCATTTTAAAAAACCCGGAATGGATTAAGATCCCAGCCACCTCAATTTTAGCAGGAGTAAAACAAAATAAATGAGGATAATCTCAGTTTACGCTTAAACTCAATTTTTAGCTTAATGTCATGGTTCCGACAGATGAAACTCTTTAAAGAACTTTGAGGCATTGTTTACCTTAAAGAATCTTTATTTGAGTAGCATAGTATCGGCACTAACATAGTCGAAGCCAAAAACTGAGTTCCCCTCCCTTGAGCACATAGTATCAAAGCACAATTCCTTTCCCCAACTAACAGTCATAAATCACATTCCCCAATTAGCTTGAAATGCAGACTTCCCCTCCAGTTCTCCAGCCCACCAATTCTTATCATCTCTTATTTCAATAACCTTGGTTCTCACACTAGGTCCAGTATTGTTATGTCTAGCTAAACTCTCATGCACATTCCTCCTCCCAGCATCATCTAACTCTAAGAGTAAAACATAAGAAGAAAATGGTTGCATCTCCATCTGTTGTCAAAGCGAAAACATCCGATGTTAGCAGCGTTGACAATGATAAGCAAGGTAGATGGAGAAGAGCAGATACAGCTGGTGGTGGAGTTAAATGAGTCATCCACCTAGAGTCATTATGTTGCCAGTTTAAGTTCAACGCCACCTAGAGTCACCTTACAAGGGAGATGGGCAGTACAGAAGGCAAATAAACAAACAAATGAATAAATAAACAAGCTAAGAAGATCGATATATATTCATATTGTACTTGCCATGTGTCCATATTTTAGACTACCCATAACAGTTTGTTCTTAGACTGATAACAGAGATAATTATACAATTAACTGTCAGTCATAAAAGACCAGGTCCACACGTGAAGGTCCAATTAAACTGATTCATTGCTACGCATGCCTATGCAGAGAAACCTGCTCAGTTAATGGTTGACACCTGCTTGGAATTAGATATGGGTCAATGGCATTCAAGGAGAGTTGAACTTAGTCTGCTTGTTGCTACATAGGGATGCTAGGCTGATCCCTCTTTTAACTCCACCCCCAGGTTCTGCCACCCCGTCTCCTGCAAAATCCAACTACAAGATCCTGTGTTATTGGCAAAGTTACTTGCCACTTGGCTGACTCACAATAAGGCAGTTAGAAAATATACAGAAGAATGTCTGCTAATATATTTGAGTATATTTGAGGTGGTGCAGCAGTTAGAGTGCAGTACTGCAGGCCACTTTAGCTGACTGTGTTCAGCAGGTCAGTGGTTCAAATCTCACCGGCTCAAGGTTGACTCAGCCTTCCATCCTTCCGGGGTAGATAAAATGAGGACCCAGATTGTTGGGGGCAATGTAAATATATATATACATTGCTTACTGGTGTACACCGCTTAGAGAGTGCTTGCACTTAAAGCGGTATATAAGTCTCATAAATAAATAAATAAATTTGGATGGGAGATAGTTCAGTTGCCAGAATTTCTGTAACTCCATCCCATTCACCTCTTTAAACTTGCTAATACCTTGGTGAGAATTGTGCTCGGGGGGGGGGGAATCAATTTTGTTTCGACAAATGCCAGAACAAAACATCACATCAACACTGAAAGACATTGTAAGTGAACAGATTCCTATTTGTATGTAACTTCGAGTCAATTTACGTCCACTGAGAATTTGACAAACAAAACCTTGCTCTCTTGAAAGAAAAAAAATGATCAATTCTAGAAATCGAATGATTTCATATTTAAGAAAATATCAGAATTTACTTGTCCCGCTGTCAGCTTTCCGATGCCCTTTTTCTTAATCTTCTTCAAGACAATTTTTCCATTTTCAATTGTGAAATCATAGCCTCGTCGCTGAAAGTAGACATCGCAGCGCGGCATGGCTGTTGGCTGAACCTTATAAATATATTAAAATGATAATAGTGTCGGAATCTGAGGGTTAGTGTTAGAAATATGTTCCATGAATAATTAGGCAAACATGGAAAGGGCAGAATTCGAACTGTATCTCGATTTCCCCGTAGAAATGGAACTTCCTGCTGTTTTGAGCGACAACATTGAAATGGAAGGAAGTTAAACCTCCATTTTCAGACGTTATTATGCTAATGAAAGGAAATAAAAACCAAAAGAGAAAGAGAAGAAAGATAAACTTGTTTAAGTTGCCCCGATTGGGAAAAACTACTCTAAATGTGGCATCCACAAATATTTTTTTTTCCTTTTTATGACCCTTTAGTTGAGGTAGAGTCAGGGCGATGGGAAGAAGTTGAGCATTTATTTGGATGCCCTTCCTGATGCCTATGTGGAGTTCATAACAAATATTTTCTCTTTGTGCCCTAACAGACAATATGAGCCCTGGTGGCGCAGTGGTTAGAATGCAGTACTGCAGGCTACTTCTGCTGACTGCCAGTTGCCAGCAGTTCAGCAGTTCGAGTCTCCCCCGCTCAAGGTTGACTCAGCCTTCCATCCTTGGGAGGTCGGTAAAATGAGGACCCAGATTGTTGGGGGGGCCATACACCGACTCTGTAAACCGCTTAGAGAGGGCTGTAAAACCCTGTGAAGCGGTATATAAGTCTAAGCGCTATTGCTAAGTGCTATCTGCTGCCGCCTAGGATTGGATTCTCAATCTTCCGAGTGGGAGGCAAGCGTCTTCACCTCTAGGTCACCACTCCACTCCTGCCAGCCACAAACAAATAAAATGCACTAGTTTCTTTTTTCCTATAATTTTACTTTTTTATGTTGTCTTCTGCCTCCTGCTGGTCCAAAATGGGCTATCCTACACCTTAATCTCTACTATTGGTAACCCGGTGTATATTAATTAAAATACCAAGGGCAGAGGTCCAAGGAGTGGCGTTGAATCTTCAGCTTCATATATATAATAATCCAAAGGTAAGAAAAAGTAGCCTACAGCTGGTTCACTACAATGACGGCCTACTACATGAGGTCGGCAGTCACACTGTCCATCGGTAGGTGCGCACCTAGGAAGAAACGACAGTGGAAAATAAAATGTGAAAAGAAGCTAAAGAAGACTAAGCTATGATTTTGAAATCATCTTAAAGGGGGCTTATAGATCATATGACACTAAAATCATATACATTATGGGCCTTTCCTCAAGATACTGACATCTAATCCTATTCTGTGCCTGAGATCTCCCTTAAGTTATCTTTAACTGTTCTACTGTTAAAAATTGTGTTTCTCTCCTTATCAGGCGTGAAGAATCAGGATCACACATTACGTTCCAATTAAGCTGATTTATTGTTCACACTTATACATAAGAATCTAACCAACTAGCAGTCAGTTGGCACCAGATAAGAGTTATTCAAAATGGGTTGGACAGACCATTTGTGCACTGGTGGGATTCAGCTGGTTCGCACCAGTTTGGTAGAACCGGTAGCTAAATTTTGCTGAGTTCGGAGAACTGGCTGAATACACACTGCTTCCGGAAGTCCGTTCTAGGCCTTGGAGGCCTGGAGGAGGCCTCCCAGACCTAGAACAGCCCACCGGAAGTGTGTGGATACCACTTCCGGAAGTCTGTTCTAAGCCTGGAGGAGGCCTCCCAGGTCTAGAAAGGCCCACCAGGGGTGCATGGATGCCACTTCTGGAAGTCCGTTCTAGGCCTCGGAGACCTGGAGGAGGCCTCCCTGGCCTAGAACAGCTGACCAGAAGTGTGTGATGCCACTTCCGGAAGTCTGTTCTAGGCCTGGGAGGCCTGGAGGAGCCCTCCCAGGCCTAGAACGGCCCACTGGAAGTGCATGAATGCCACTTCCGGAAGTCCGTTCTAGGCCTCGAAGATCTGGAGGGGGCCTCCCTGGCCTAGAACAACTGACCAGAAGTGCATGATGCCACTTCCGGAAGTCTGTTCTAGGCTTGGGAGGCCTGGAGGAGGCCTTCCAGGCCTAGAACGGCCCCCTGGAAGTGCATGAATGCCACTTCCGGAAGTCCGTTCTAGGCCTCGGAGGCCCAGGCCTACACCCAATAAGAGAACCAGTTGTTCAGGTATTTGAATCCCACTACTGCATTTGTGGGAACATAAAGACCCTAGACTGATTCCTTTCTTGACTCCAACCCCAGGATCTGCCATTCCTTCTCCCACACTGAATACTGCTGCAGATTCAATCTAATATTGTGAAGGAGCTAAAATAGAAACTTACGAATTATTGTAGGCACCACCAATGTCACAGTCACATGGCGAGCATCCATATGCATGACTGCCAAGACCCCAATATCCTTCCTACAATAGAAAAGAAATGGGGAGGGGTTACCCCAGTGTGTGAGTTCAATTAAAAATGTACGGGTAGTAGTCCTCGACTTACGACCACAATTGAGCCCCAAATTTATGTCGCTAAGCGAGACATTTGTTAAGTGAGCTCTGCCTCATTTTAAGGCCTTTCTTGTTGCAGATATTAAGTGAAATCCCTGCAGTTGTTAAGTGCATAACACGGTTGTTAAGTGAGTACGGCTTCCCGATGGACTTCGCTTGCCAGAAGGTGGCAAAAGGGGATCGCATGACCCCCCCACCAGGACATTGCAACCGTCGTAAATGTGAGTCAATTGCCACGCCTCTGAATTTTGATCACATGACGCAGGCATGCTGCAACGGTGGCGTGCAAAATGGTCATCAGTCCCTTTTTTCAGTGCCGTCAAACGGTCACTAAACAAACGGTTGCAAGCTGAGGACTACTTGTATATATTGACCCTGATCTTTGGATAAAAAGTCAGGGAAAACGAAGGGAATGACCCCAAGGAAAGTCCTAAGCAAGAAACTCTGCTTGAAAAACTTCCCAGTACATACAAGACAGTGTTCGCAACGTTGTCCGGTGACAAATTCCTGGCATACACACTCTCCAGATTCTGGGTTGCAAACGGAGAAAGGCAAACTCCCCAATGAGTCACACCTGCAGGCTGAAAAGACAGAATTCCAGATCACCGTTTGGGTGAGAAGCAGAAATGTCTGACGGGCTAGTCCAGGGGTGGGCAACCTTGGCTCTTTTACGACTTGTGGACTTCAACTCCCAGAATTCCTCAGCTAGCCACCACTGAGGGGAAAGGGAGAGGTTTCCAAGCTGAGCCATGCTGGCTCAGGAATTCTGGGAGTTGAAGTCCACAAGTCTTAAAGGTGCCAAGGTTGAGGACCCCTGATATAGGGAAGGGGTGGGGAACCTTGGCTCTTTTATGACTGGTGGACTTCAACTACGCAGAATTCCTCAGCCAGCCACCACTGAGGGGAAAGGGAGAGGTTTCCAAGCTGAGCCATGTTGGCTGAGGAATTCTGGGAGTTGAAGTCCACGAGTCATAAAGCAGCCTAGGCCTAGGCCAGAGGTAGGCAACCTTGGCTATTTTATGACTCGTGGACTTCAACTCCCAGAATCCCTGAGCCAGCATGGCTCAGCTTGGAAACCTCTCCCTTTCCCCTCAGCGTGGCTGGCTGAGGAATTCTGGGTAGTTGGAGTCCACAAGTCATAAAAGAGCCAAGGTTGCCTATCCCTGACCTAGGCCGCTTTCTGACTTGTGGACTTCAACTCCCAGAATTCCTCAGCCAGCCTGGCTCAGCTTGGAAACCTCTCCCTTTCCCCTCAGCGTGGCTGGCTCAGGAATTCTGGGAGTTGAAGTCCACGATCATAAAAGAGCCAAGGTTGCCTACCCCTGATCTAGTCAGAATAATGTCGCAATAGCACTTAGACTTATATACCGCTTCACGGTTCTTTACAGCCCTCTCTAATCTGTTTACAAGTATCAGCATAATTGCCCCCAACAATCTGGGTCCTCATTTTACCTTGGAAGGATGGAAGCTGAGTCAACCTTGAGCTGGTCAGGATCGAACTCCTGGCAGTGAGCAGAATGAGCCTGCAAAGCTGCATTCTAACCACTGCGCCACCACGGTTCTTGTAACAAGTAAAATCAGATTACAGCATCCCATATGTACCTGTGTGCAATTTCATAGTCCACTACCAAAGGGGCAGAGCTTGAGTTGCAACAGTGCAATGCTTGTGTCGTTATTTGCTTTCCCCAAAGATGCTTTTTCCTCGAGGATGTTTTGCTTCACATCCAAGAAGCTTCTTCAGTCCTGACTGAATGGTGGGGAATGGAAGGATTTATACTCCTTGCAGACAGCTGGTCATTAATACTCTTTCTGAGACTCTCCTTTCATTCCCCACCAAGAGCTGAGAGGCACAAGGGAACCATTTCAAAACAATTTTGTAACCCGTAGGATAAGTGTTTAAGCTGAAAATATGAAGGTTTCCTTTTCCCCTTAAAATGTTTGTTCCCCTTTATTTCAGGACAGCATGTAACAGAAGCTAACATACAGTAGTGGCCAAAATGGTGGAAACCTTTTGGGAAAAGTGTACAGTAGAAATGCCACCTTTGGTTAAGTTTCCACCATTTTTTCTTCTAATTTTTTTATAACGGTAGCCTTGTTCACTGAATAATACTATTTTACATCGCTTTCTGGGCAACCAGTCAACTCTTTGCACCATGATTTTATTACGTTTTGCAAGCTCACTACATGAAAGAACACCAAAAAACTCAACCAAAAAAACCCAACACACTGACAAATGTCCTCCTCTCAGCTTCAATACATGACATCAATCACTGAATCCTACTGTGATCTGACTGGCTCATGGCCAAAACAAGATGACACCTGATTGGCTCTTTAACACTCACACTCATTAGCTACAATCAGATGAAGGAAAGCTACCCGAGATCAACCTAAGCAAATTGTGCTTCCTTTTTCTGGTTATTGGGCTATAACCTTTCACAGAATATAGATAATGGAACAAACTTTGTTGCATTACATTCTTGATTAAATTATCTTTCCATTGATATATAATTTTATGGTACTACTCCCCAAAAGAAAGTGGTGTTATTAGCCACTAAATCTCAAAAATACGCTTTTCCCAAAAGGTTTCCACAATTTTGGCCACTACTGTAAACATTTGTTCATACTTAAAATGGTGTAAAATTTTTCTTCATATACTTCTCCCTGTGGCGAAGAACCAGTGAAATGATAGAATTTCAAGGCAGGCAACTGAGTACTTTGAAATACAACTCGTGGTTGTCTTTTTCATGCTGACTTAAATCTTCAAGACCTGGACCACAAGAAAAAACAAAAGAAAAATTCGTACGTTGACAGCCAAGCGGATCGCTTCCATTTATTCCATAGTAGTGTGGCTTGCACTTGCCACAATGGACTCCTTCAACATTGGGCTTGCAAAGACACTGGCCAGCAATGGTTCCGAGGACAGGATCGGAATGACTCTGGCACAGCCCGTTTTGCAGAGCGCCTTCTGGATCACAGTCACAAGCTAGGGACAGACAGACAGATACCGATATACAAGGGAGCAGTGTAACGTTTGGAAACATCATCCAAATTAATACGAGTCAAATCAAATAAGTTCATAGCAAGTCCTACGAATTGTCTGAATCCAGCCCTCTGGATCATCTCACAAGAGCTTTTACACCATGATGTAAAAAAGATGTTGAGACTCTAGAAAGAGTGCAGAGAAGAGCAACACAGATGATTAGGGGACTGGAGACTAAAACAGATAAGGAACGGTTGCTGGAATTGGGTGTGTCTGGTTTAATGAAGAGAAGGAGAAGGGGGGACATGATAGCGGTGTTCCAGTAGCTCAGGGACTGCCACAAAAAAGAGGGAGTCAAGCTATTCTCCAAAGTGCCTGAAGGCAGGACAAGAAGCAACAGATGGAAAGTAATCAAGGAGAGAAGCAACCTAGAACTAAGGAGAAACTTCCTGACAATTAGAACAATTAATCAGCGGAACGACTTGCCTCCAGAGGTTGTGGGTGCTCCAACACTGGAAGTTTTTAAGAAGAGACTGGACAGCCGTTTGTCCGAAATGGTATAGGGTTTCCTGCCTGAGCAGGTTGGTTGGACTAGATGACCTCCAAGGTCCCTTCCAACTTTATTATTATTATTACTTACCGATACACACATGAGGATCTGTCATGGCCTTCTGAGGATCTTTGTAAAAGAAAGGCTTGCATCGCTCACAGTGCTGCCCCGTTGTGTTATGTTGACAATCTTCACAAACTCCGCCGGTCGTACGGTTGTTCGCAAGGTACACAGCCATATCAAAGTGGCAAGTTTCCGAATGACTGTTGCATTCACATTCTGAAACAGAAGGCAAATGCAATGGGGCCTTCGTGCACCAGTAGGACCCAGATGCATCCAAGCACCAAAATAGAGTATAAATATAGTGAAAGAGGTTATTTCCTGTATTTAATTAATTTATATGCCACCTGTCTCACTATCCAAAGGGATCCTGGGCAGCTTGCAGCACATAGAAGCGTAAAGGTAAAGGTTTCCCCTGCCCAGTCATGTCCAACTCTAGTACTCATCTCCATTTCTAGGATGACGGAGCCAGCGTTGTCCGAACACATTTCCATGGTCATGTGGCCAGCATGGCTAAACCCTGAGGCCCATTGAATGTTATTTTTCCCATCAAAGTGGTACCTATTAATCTAGTCCAGTGATGGCGAACCTTTTAGAGACCGAGTGCCCAAACTGCAACTCAAAACCCACTTATGCATCGTCGAGTGCCGGGTGGGTGTGGCCCATTGGGTGGGCGTGGCTGTGGTGGTAATGGCACTGAGTGGGACTAAAAAGTCCCAATCACAAGGCTGCAACATCATAACTGCAGGCCAGTTGCTAAGCACCCGAATCACCATTGCGTGACCAGGGCACACTGTGATGGTTGCAACTTCAAGGACAGGCCTTAAGTCTCCGCGTTCAGCGCAGTTGTCGCATCAAACAATCAACCCACGAATGATCATTAACTGAGGACTGCCTGTAGAATAAAATTTCGGTCTGCCTGTAGAAGGTGACCAGGCTACACACCCACAAGAGATCTAAGTCTAGCCCACCTTGAATTCTTTTCTATTCTTATCCCCCGCTCATTTCCCTTGACTGTTAGTTGGTCAGATTCTTGTAGAGCCCTTAAGCTCGCAATAAATCTTTATATTCATTTGCACTGCCTGAATCTCTTGATTGATTTCTCTGGAGCTTGACACGACCATGCCATTAAATATTTAGCAGGACATAGGCGATTATTATCCAAAAATCTGGTAAAAATTAAGCCAATCACTGGAATACTTCGGCAAGCATTTTCCTGGGATCCTTCAGCCGGCCTCCAAGGGACATCATTGTAGAAATCTTTGCATCGTTCACAGGACAGACCGTCCGTGTTGTGCTCACAGAGGCAGTTTCCATGCACCTGGAACAGATCAATGAAGATTATGGAAGTGCATGTCGGCGTCGGTGCTTTGCGTTCCTCTCACGTGGCCTGCTAGAAATGAACTTTGGGCAAGGGCCACAGGATTAAACTGCATGTCCACAATAAAATGTGCGTAGGTCATTGCCTATCGTTATGAAACTCTGCTATTTTAAGAGGCATCATCTTAAGAGCACCCAACGTGTCGAACGTTTGGACACAAGAACGACCGAGTTAAAATGTATTATGATAGCCTGATTGGTACTCAGATATCTATGTCCTAGCTGTACTTAGGAATATTTGTCAGGTGCGAAGAATCAAATCACCCAGTAAATCTCAGTTAAGCTAATTTATTGCTCGTGCCTAGATACCAGAATCTAGTCAATTAACGGTCAGCACTAAATTGATGCTAGATCAGAGTTAACAGAATTCAAGAGGTTGGATTTGGATCATTTATGGCAGCGTAACGATTCTAGGCTAAATCCTCTCTTGACTCCACCCTCAGGCTGTGCTGCTTCTTCTCATGCAATATTACTGCAATGTTTCCAGACAACTTTGTGCTCAAATGAAGTCTCCTGGAGAGAGAGCTTTTTCAACTCACCATCCCAGGTTGGTGGAAGACGTCCCCACGCAGGTTTTCCCCAGGGCCACAGTATCTGGCATGGCCGTTGCACATGCAGCTCCCACGAACAACCATTTCATACAGCGCGTAGTAGTAATTTTCCAGAAGGTTGTGTTTCTTTTCTCCCAGCAAAGTGTCTCCCAACACTTGAAGCTTTGTAAAGTTAATTCTCAGATTTGTAAAAGCAACCAGCTCTGTGGGTGAAAATGTGGGGAAATGGGAAATTAATTGAGCTCAAAATCATATCCATAAGGGTGGATGTAATATGATATCCCTATATTATTATAATGATGGCTGATGGGGTTGAAAGACTTCATTCTTGTCCCATCTGGCTCTTAGCTATCTCAGTTTGTTTTGAGCGTAGCTCTTCATAATATTTTTAACTTTGTGTTGTTTTAATTTTTTTTTAAATCTTTTAACTATATTTAATTTGTTTTATAACCTGTAAACCTCCCAGAGTCATCTTATAGAGGAGATGGGCGACATAAATAAATAAATAAATAAATAAATAAATAAATAAATAAATAAATAAATAAATAAATAACTTTGGCAAGCTGTCTTAGAAACCAAGGAAATACCAGGACATTCTCGACTTACGACAGTTCATTTAGTGACCGTTCAAAGTTACAACGGCACTGAAAAAAGGGACTTTTGACCGGTTTTCACACTTGCCGTTGCAGCATCCCCAGGGTCACGTGATCAACATTCAGACGCATGGCAACTGACTCCTAATTATGACGGTTGCAGTGCCCGTCATAACACGGCAACCATCATAAATACGAGTCAGTTGACAAGCATCTGAATTTTGATCACGTGACTACAGAAATGCTGCAATGGTCATGTATTAAACCAGGGGTGGGGAACCTTGGCTCTTTTATGACTCCTGGACTTCAACTCCCAGAATTCCTGAGCCAGCCATGCTTAGGGGAAAGGGAGAGGTTTCCATGCTGAGCCATGCTGGCTCAGGAATTCTGGGAGTTGAAGTCCACGAGTCATGAAGGGGCCATAGTTGCCCCATGCTGGCTCAGGAATTCTGGGAGTTGAAGTCCACGAGTCAGAAAGCAGCCTAGGCCTAGGCCAGAGGTAGGGAACCCTGGCTCTTTTATGACTCGTGGACTTCAACTCCCAGAATTCCTGAGCCAGACACGCTGAGGAGAAAGGGAGAGGTTTCCAAGCTGAGCCAGGCTGGCTCAGGAATTCTGGGAGTTGAAGTCCAGGAGTCATAAAAGAGCCAAGGTTGCCTCCCCCTGTGTTAAATCGTCATAATTTTTTTAGTGCCCTTGTATCTTTGAACGGTCACTAAATGAACTTTGTAAATTGAGGACTAGCTGTAATTCCTATAACTGTTGAAGAAGAGAAGAGACAAAGGTATAGGAATTAATTTCAAATTAATTCACATTGCAACGCTCTCCAAATCACTGTTCAGCCATTTCATCCAATAACGTTTTTACCTGATAATGCAGGTAGAATTTCTAACTCTTTATTAATAATGGTGTTCTGCCAAGGAGCCACAAAATGTTGTTTCGAAGTAAAGAAAAATTGACAAAGGACTGTTAAAATCCCAACGGTTCCTACCTTGGATGTATGGATCATACACATTTTCTATTTCAAAGCTGGGATCCAGAACTTTGAAAATAACCTGTCAACATCCAAAATAATATTTATAAGGTTAAGCGCACGGAGGCAAAAGAACTGATCTGAAATACATTATTATTATTATTATTATTATTATTATTATTATTATTATTATTGCCAATCCTTAACCACAGAATGAACCGTAAAAAAGTGTCTGGCAGCTTTCTGACTTCAAGGAAGCTTGACTAGATCTGTACATCATGACTTTTGTAATTGCACGGAGAATCAAAATCACTGAAGTCCAATAATCAACGCACCTCCCCTTCAGTTGACGGTTCGATATCTGAATATTTGGAGTCACAGACAAGATCCCCAACCGCTTCGGCTGGTTTTGAAGGAATATCGGGGAAAGAAGCCGCACAATTTTGGGCAAAATATCTGTACACTTTCCAGGTTTGACCGTAATCGGCAGAGCGTTCCACCAACATGGCAGCAGGATGAAATGTCTGCAAGAGATGCAACTTCAGATTGACGTTTGCTTGAAGATTTACGTTATGAACACTTAAGCATCTGATACCCCTGTATTACTTAATATTGTCCATTTATTATTGTGAACAAATACTGGGCAGATTCAGGTTTCACCACGCCTCTGTAAAAGAGTTCTTTTCAAGGGTTTACAATGATCTAAAATGAAACTGGCATATATTTGAAGAAAGTGACCTGATTGGATCTCAATCCAATTAGATTGTTGTGCAACTGAGCTGTTACCTAGAAAAGTTTATGATAATTAACTAAAAATAAATATTCAGTGCCCAATATTTATTGATGGCATGTCTCCAATCTGTTTCTTTTCCTCTTGCATAGCTACCACAATTGTAAACCACCATTCCAATATCTCAGGGGTTGCCCCAAAGAAGAGGGAGTCAAGCTATTCTCCAAAGCACCATTAGAATACCAAAAGGGGCACACTGAACCTCAGGTCAAGGTTCATGCCACAGGAACAGGAACAACTCCAAACACAAAAGCCCAACAAGGTATAAAAACCCACCACTCCCAGCTCCATGTGATCAGCTGCTCCAGAACCACACTTCTGTCTGGTTCTGCAGTGCAGTAAACTCCAACCTTCTTTCTAAAGCAGTCTCCATTTTGTTTATTCCCAGCTTGGACTGGACCCTGATGAAGATTTTTCATTCAACAGCGGCTTTACTCAGAACAACCTACATCCTGTATCAATACCTTTAACACTATTACACAACAACATCTGCCTATCCTAGCCCTTGGGAAGGACTCTATAGGTGAACAAAATACCAAATCCAGTCTAAACACCTGGCTGACTGTGCAACGGATGCAATTAAATAATATATTGGGTACAACCATTTTAAAGCATGTTCCCAGCATTCACATTTGACTGTATATATTATCTGTTCATCTGGGATCTGATATAGAAACATTTCTATCTGGTAGCAAAAAAATAGACTCACTTGGTACTAGGCTGATCAGATCGATTAGCTGCAAATATTGGTAAACACCTTAAGCCAGGGGTGTTCAAACTTGGCCCTTTTATGACTTGTGGACTTCAACTCCCAGAATTCCTCAGCCAGACACGCTGGCTGAGGAATTCTGGGAGTTGAAGTCCACAAGTCATAAAAGGGTCAAGTTTGAAGACCCCTGCCCTAAGCCATCAATAAAATACAATCAATCTGCGCACTCCTCCTAAAATACATCTCTCCTTATTTTACCTGTTGCCACAAGTCTGTGTGTAAATACACTTAATCGGATTAAATCAGATTTCAAAGCTCAGGAGACGATACGTTTCATTGAACTGTTGCTATAAATAGTAGCTGAAGCATGAATGGTTTATGTGGATCCATTACAGATCTTGGCATCATGAAGCCAGGCTAAAGTGCCTTTTTTGAAATTCTAAATAGGCTAAATTTAGGAAATCCTAAATAGGAAGAAATGCTGAAAGAGTGTTTCTGCATACACACACACACACACACACACACACCACTTTCTTGCTAGTAAAATATGAGAATTGTATATTCTTTTTGAAAAATGTGGATTGCCTTCCAGGTGATCACAAACCCCAGTCAACAACAGCTAAGTAATTCTGAACTGCACCATATCTATTTAAAAAAAAAACATAAAAGCAGAAATTGCCTTAGCGTTACCCACTCTAAATAATTGCTAGGCTATTAAATAAGTTAAATACTGTATTTTGTGGCTTTGTATGAAGGTACCTTGAAGGTCAGGATAAGATGGCTGAACTGAAACATATTTTCCAAGTTCAACTGAATACTGACATGGTCAACACCTGCAAATTAATAAACCAGATGCAGATAATAGGAAATTTAAAAAAACAGGAACAAGAAATATTTATTCCCCCCCCCCCACTTTCTGATGAATTAATTGCATTTAGGGTCTATCTTATAGAAACCACTTCAAAGATATATTTTATTTTCAAAATAAAATTGCCAAAGGATTGACATTTTGTGGTATCTCTGAGGTTAATTTTTTGGCTTAATTAACTCAGTTGCATGGCTTATGCTTCCAACTCTCAAGCAATTTTTATAATTATATTGATTAATATCAGAATGATCACACTTATTTTGCAAGGAATATCCTCCCAATCTGCAAGCCTTACCAAGCACAAATTCTTCCTATATCTAATTCCATTAATTTTGGATAATAATGAATTGATGTATTAGGGTCACAGATAATTGAAATAAAAATCGCAAACATTCAAATATAATTTTTTTTGATCCTGTTTTATTTCTTGCTTCTTGCCTTTTTTCAACACAATTGCATGGACTAATGTCACTTTAGCATCTTTAAATCTTTAGCATCCAGGTATTCCATACCTGGAATAGTGCATCCAGTTCTGGTCACCACATTATAAAAAATATATTGAGACTCTGGAAAGAGTACAGAGAAAAGCCACAAAGATAATTAAGGGCATGGAGACTAAAACACGAAGAACGGTTGCAGGAATTGGGTATGGCTAGTCTAGTGAAAAGAAGGACGAGGGGTGACATGATAGCAGTCTTCCAATATTTGAGGGGTTGCCTCAAAGAAGAGGGGGTCAACTTATTTTCCAAAGCACCTGAAGTCAAGACAAGAAGCAACGGATGGAAACTAATCAAGGAGAGAAGCAACCTGGAACTAAGGAGAAACTTCCTAATAGTGATACCAATCAACCAGTGGAACAACCTGCCTCCAGAATTTGTGGGTGCTCCATTACTGGAGGCTTTTAAGAAATGACTGAACAGCCATTTGTCTGAAATGATATAGGGTCTTCTGCTTGAGCAGGGGGTTGGACTAGATGACTTCCAAGGTCCCTTCCAGCTCTGTTATTCTGCTAAGTGGAAAATATTCACTGTTGCTGCAAATAATTAACCACCTCCTGTAGTTCCAAATGTGAAATTGTGTTGCAGGGAAAGGCTGTCACTCTGCTTGGTGTTAAGCTCCAAGCCATCAATTGGTTGAGTTGGATAATTTCATAAACTGGCATCGCTACAAAAAAATGTTCAGCTTTCTGACAATATCATCCAGAGACGGGGATTTGCCACTTTGCTCGTGAGACCATCAGATTAGAAGCTGAGCAGATGACAGCCCAACCAAATTGGCTAAAGAAATAAAACCAGCCGAAACCACTCACCGTTTTCAGATTGCCACCATTTCTTCCGATCGCGTTCCAAACCCGCGACGACGTTTTCGATGGAGTGACTGTTGGTTTGGAAGAGTGGGTGATAGGGGCGCCTGGAATCGCAGGTGAAACATCTCTTCTTCTCCTAGAAAAGGGTAGACACAAACACAAAGAATAGAACAGAGCTGGAAGGGACCTTGGAGGTCTTCTAGTCTAGCCCCCTGCTCAAGCAAGAGAACCTATACCCGTGGTGGCACGCAGAGCCCTCTCTGGGAACGCATGCCCACCAATGGGATTTTCCCATGTATTTTACCAGGAAACATAGATAGGGCCAGCTAGAAAAGTCAGTGCCCTCCTAACCATACCCAAGCACTCCGAATTTGTTGGCGATGTCCATTTTGCTCTATGAGTTCATGCTGACCTAACCCTAACCCTAAGTGGAATTTTCCTCCAATGGGATTTTCCCATGCATTTTACCAGGAAACATAGATAGGGCAGCCTAGAAAAGTCAGTGCCCTCCTAACCATACCCAAGCACTCCGAATTGGTTGGCGATGTCCATTTTGCTCTGTGAGTTCATGGGACCTAACCCTAATCCTAAGTGGAATTTTCCTCCAATGGGATTTTCCCATGCATTTCATCAGGAAACATAGATAGGGCAGCCTAGAAAAGTCAGTGCCCTCCTAACCATACCCAAGCACTCCAAATTTGTTGGCGATGTCCATTTTGCTCTATGAGTTCATGGCGACCTAACCCTAACCCTAAGTGGAATTTTCCTCCAATGGGATTTTCCCATGCATTTTACCAGGAAACATAGATAGGGCAGCCTAGAAAAGTCAGTGCCCTCCTAACCATACCCAAGTACTCCGACATTGTTGGCGATGTCCATTTTGCTCTCCGAGTTCATGGTGACCTAACCCTAACCCTAAGGAGAATTTTCCTCCAATGGGATTTTCCCATGCATTTTACCAGGAAACATTGATGGGGCAGGCTAGAAAAGTCAGTGCCCTCCTAACCATACCCAAGCACTCCAAATTTGTTGGCGATGTCCATTTTGCTCTATGAGTTCATGGTGACCTAACCCTAACCCTAAGTGGAATTTTCCTCCAATGGGATTTTCCCATGCATTTTACCAGGAAACATAGATAGGGCAGCCTAGAAAAGTCAGTGCCCTCCTAACCATACCCCAAGCACTCTGAATTTGTTGGCGATGTCCATTTTGCTCTATGAGTTCATGGTGACCTAACCCTAACCTAAGTGGAATTTTCCTCCAATGGGATTTTCCCATGCATTTTACCAGGAAACATTGATGGGGCAGCCTAGAAAAGTCAGTGCCCTCCTAACCATACCCAAGCACTCCGAATTTGTTGGCGATGTCCATTTTGCTCTATGAGTTCATGGTGACCTAACCCTAACCCTAAGTGGAATTTTCCTCCAATGGGATTTTCCCATGCATTTTACCAGGAAACATAGATAGGGCAGCCTAGAAAAGTCAGTGCCCTCCTAACCATACCCAAGCACTCCAAATTTGTTGGCGATGTCCATTTTGCTCTCCGAGTTCATGGTGACCTAACCCTAACCCTAAGGAGAATTTTCCTCCAATGGGATTTTCCCATGCATTTTACCAGGAAACATTGATGGGCAGGCTAGAAAAGTCAGTGCCCTCCTAACCATACCCAAGCACTCCAAATTTGTTGGCGATGTCCATTTTGCTCTATGAGTTCATGGCGACCTAACCCTAACCCTAAGTGGAATTTTCCTCCAATGGGATTTTCCCATGCATTTTACCAGGAAACATTGATGGGCAGGCTAGAAAAGTCAGTGCCCTCCTAACCATACCCAAGCACTCCAAATTTGTTGGCGATGTCCATTTTGCTCTGTGAGTTCAGGGTGACCTAACCCTAACCCTAAGTGGAATTTTCCTCCAATGGGATTTTCCCATATATTTTACCAGGAAACATAGATAGGGCAGCCTAGAAAAGTCAGTGCCCTTCTAACCATACCCAAGCACTCCGAATTTGTTGGCAATGTCCATTTTGCTCTCCGAGTTCATGGTGACGTAACCCTAACCCTACTGTCTCAGACAGGTGAATATCCAGTCTCTTCTTAAAAACTTCCAGTGATGGAGCGCCCACGATTTGTGGCGGCAGGCTGTTCCACTGTTTGATTATCTTCACTGTCAGGAAGTTTCACCTTCCTTCCAGGTTGCTTCTCTCTTTGATCAGTTTCCAACCATTGTTTCTCGTCCATCATATTTGGGGGTTCAGCAGCGATGATTTCTTAGCAGACCGATGGATTTCAATTCCCCCCCCCCCTTTGCATTAACTACCCAAGATTGTTTTTGCAAGTGCCAAACATCGAGAAGGGAGATGAGTTTACAGAGAAGTCCTTTGTACACGCCCTGTGCTTTTCACCCTTACCTGCTTCTTTGCTCTCAGAAGGGAGAAGGGAAGGGTTGCCTCATTTGTGCAATTTGACAGAGATGAGAGATGGTGTCATCTTCCAAGGTTAAGCCTCCCGTGTCTGTTTCTGCCTGTTCGCTTTCCTGAAAAGTCTCACCATTTCTGTTTATTCTCTTTCCAGGAAAATCGCACCCAGGGAGGCAGAAAGCAGAATTAGCATCGTGATACAAGGCCACGTGATTGGGATGAGCCAGCTGAAGCCCCTAAGAGAGGGATGTGCTTTCTTAAATTTGTTCCAAATGGGGGTGGGGTGGGGTGGGATTATAGAAGTGAACTCAGTGCAAACTGAATGCCAATGCTGGACGTTTTCAAGAAAAGACTGGACAGTCATTTGTCTGAAATGACATAGGATCTCCTGCTTGAGTGGGAGGTTGAACTAGAAGACCTCCAATGTCCCTTCCAATCCTATTCTATAATAATAATAATAATAATAATAATAATAATAATAATAATAATAACAACAACAACAACAACAACAACAACAACTGGAGCACCACTTGAACACCATTGGCATTGACAAATTCGCTATTAGTCAATTGCAAAAGGCGGCCTTATTAGGAACTGCTTCCATCCTGCGACGATATCTGTGATACCATCAAACACCCACACCTGCCTATCCCAGGTCCTGGGTAAGGACTCGAGAGGTAGACAAAATGCCAAATCCAGTCTGAACATCTGGCTGACTGTGCGATGATCATAATAATAATAATAAGTAGTAGTAGTAGTAGTAGTAGTAGTAGTAGTAGTAGTAGTAAAGTTGGAAGGGACCTTGGAGGTCATCTAGTCCAACCCCCTGCTCAGGCAGGAAACCCTATACCATTTCAGACAAATGGCTATCCAGTCTCTTCTTAAAAGCTTCCAGTGTTGGAGCATTCACCGCTTCTGGAGGCAGGTTGTTCCACCGGTTAATTGTTCTCACTGTCAGGAACTTTCTCCTTAGTTCTAGGTTGCTTCTCTCCTCTATGTTTTTTTTTTTTTCCTGCTGGTTAGCCTGCAGTTGAACAAAGCAGATCACCTTTCTAACAGAAAGAGATTTGGGAGGACTATAATATTTATAGTTCCAGTTATCTTTTTGGCATCACAATGAACTCACCTCAAGGTACCCAACAGTACAATACTTCTGAGGGCCAAACAGTCCACACGTAGACGAAGCGGTCAGCTGTTTGCTGCGTCCCACAAGCAGGTCTCCAACTGATGGGTGACAGGCGCCATGCTGACAGCTATTCTGACTGCTTAGGAAGTCTGTGAGTAGCACTGAATACAAAATGAAGATGAGACATAGTTTGACAGGCTTCTCTAAACGAATGACTGCAGATATCTTGATGCTAACTCTCAATCATCTGGGAATCTTGAACAGTGATGTCCACCACAGCTGGAAAATACTGAACAGGGAAAGGCTGGTTACTTGATGTGAAGCTTTAAGCTGTCCAACTTTGCACTTTCCATGACATCATTCATAGTTTTCTTATTTACTTATACCAGGGATAGGCAACCTTGGCTCTTTTATGACTCATGGACTTCAACTCTCAGAATTCCTGAGCCAGCCACGCTGAGGGGAAAGGGAGAGGTTTCCAAGCTGAGCCATGCTGGCTCAGGAATTCTGGGAGTTGAAGTCCACCAGTCTTAAGGTTGCTAAGGTTGAGGACCCCTGATATAGGGCAGGGGTGGGGAACCTGGGCTCTTTTATGACTCGAGGATTTCAACTCCCAGAATTCCTGAGCCAGCCACGCTGAGGGGAAAGGGAGAGGTTTCCAAGCTGAGCCAGGCTGGCTGAGGAATTCTGGGAGTTGAAGTCCACGAGTCATAAAGCAGCTTAGGCCTAGGCCAGAATTAGGCAACCTTGGCTCTTTTATGACTCGTGGACTTCAACTCCCAGAATTCCTGAGCCAGCCACGCTGAGGGGAAAGAGAGAGGTTTCCAAGCTGAGCCAGGCTGGCTCAGGAATTCTGGGAGTTGAAGTCCACGAGTCAGAAAGCGGCCTAGGCCAGAGGTAGGCAACCTTGGCTCTTTTATGACTCGTGGACTTCAACTCCCAGAATTCCTCAGCCAGCCACGCTGAGGGGAAAGGGAGAGGTTTCCAAGCTGAGCCAGGCTGGCTCAGGAATTCTGGGAGTTGAAATCCACGAGTCATAAAAGAGCCAAGGTTGCCTACCCCTGACTTATACTGTACTGTCTCTGGCTTAAGTGTATCATTGCATTTAAGCGTCCACCTAGCCGAGGGGTGGGGAACCTTGGCTCTTTTATGATTTGTGGACTTCAACTCCCAGAATTCCTGAGCCAGCCACCCCTGACCTAGCCAATACAGAGAATGGGGATGGTAAAGACATCAAAGGAGTCATGTTCAATTCTTCAGGGCAGGTCACAAACAATAATAAAACAATAAACAAATACAAAAACCAGCAAAAAAAAAAGCATCCTGGCATCTGAAACCCAAGTCCAGCCCAACTCCAGGTGATTGCACCCATATAATTTTCTTGACAGGGTTACAGGAGTGTCTTGTTATTGCCTTTACTTGTTTCATTGTGTGTGTGTGTGTGTGTGTTTACTCCCCAGTCTATCCAAGAGCTTGGCACTACTTGTGTGTTTTCCCACCCATTTGCTCAGCCTGGTGAGTTGCTGCCTCTTGTTGAGTTTGTGAAGAAGTTTCTTGGATGAGAAGCGAAACGTTTTCAAGGAAAAAAAAAACAACAACAAGAAAAGTCCAGTTGCCTTTTGAGAAAGCACCTTTGGGACAACTCTTGTTGTATATGCTGTATAAAAGTAGAATTCCGGATTGCCGAATTTCAGTATGAAACTTTTAATTTTGGGTGACATTAAAAAGATTACCCAAAAGTATTTCATCATGACTCCAGATAATAAGAACCAAGCTTTGTGGCAAACATAAGTCTATTCCCAAAGTCCTATGAACAAGCATTTGGTGTTTGTGATCCAGCTAATGTCTTTTAATAAAATTTGTGGGTCCAAATTTGTGCTGCCAGAATCTTCCCGATTTTTGGGGGGGTCATCCTAGATTAACTCATCTCCTACAATGAGTTAGAGATGGGCAATCACGTAGTACACGGTGTGCAGTGAAAGATGTACGTCTGGCTAGATCTCAGCTAGGCTCACATCAAATTTGCTAGCTAAGGCATTCGTAGTATAAATTGGTCACGCAGCAGGACAGTGGCTAAAATAAAATATACAGAATATGTTTGGGCATATCTGAGGTTGTTGAACTCACCAAGATTCAGAAGAATTACCAATGGAAACCACATCATGTAGATATATTGAGGTATCGTCTTGGCTTAATTTGAGCTTCAGGAGGAAAAAAGAAAAAAATCCCGTTGTGTTAGCCCTTCCCAAGATCAAAAATGATGCTTACATTCTACTCAATTGTTGTATGTCGTGATGCAATTACAGATAAACAGAAAAAGAAACCCTGATATTTCAATTTCCTGTAAGCTAATATTCCAAGAAAACAATTCCATTCTCAAGAGGATGATCTGAGGAAACAGTCACAACAGAACTACAGTTTTGGACATCTGTGTCTCGTGTGACATAACTGTCAGGCTTTTCTTTCTGTTTCATTTATTTACGAATTATTAAACTGAGTGTGCCACAGATTTTTTTAAAAAAAAAAACATCTGATGCATTAAAGAGATATACTTGAAATCATAAGGCAGTGAAAGCCTCTTCAGGCATGTGTAGATGTGATGAGGAAATAATGATATGATTTTATTAATAATCATCTTCTAAAGTCCATCATTCAGAGAAGAAAGCCTCCAGCTTTGTTTTAGGGGGCTGGACTAGAAGACCTCCAAGGTCCCTTCCAGCTCTGCTCTATTCTATTCTATTCTATTCTATTCTATTCTATTCTATTCTATTCTATTCTATTCTACTCTACTCTATTTACTTTTCTCTACTCCTATTCTATTCTATTCTATTCTATTCTATTCTATTCTATTCTATTCTACTCTATTCTACTCTACTCTACTCTACTCTACTCTATTTACTTTACTCTACTCCTATTCTATTCTGTTCTGTTCTGTTCTATTCTATTCTATTCTATTCTATTCTACTCCTATTCTATTCTGTTCTGTTCTATTCTATTCTATTCTATTCTATTCTATTCTACTCTACTCTATTTACTTTACTCTACTCTACTTCTATTCTATTCTATTCTATTCTATTCTATTCTATTCTATTCTATTCTATTCTATTCTATTCTATTCCATCTACTCTACTCTACTCTACTCAGTCTAGTCTAACATTGAGGAGAGAAAGAAGTCAGTATCAAATGACAAAAACCCTTTGCAATAGGCTAGCTTTCTGTAACTTGATACCTTCCACATATGTTGGGCCAACTCTGTAACGTCCCCTGCTAGTGTGGTGCTTGGATTTAATCATTACAGTAACCAAAGTCCAGAAAAAGTCCACCGTGGGGAACCTGCATTAGAACTGAGGTTTCGTTGTTTCAGACCAGTGAGGACATAATCTTCAATCACCTTTGGAAGTTTGGAACAGAGTTTGAAATGATAGGTTTAATGTTTTGGGTAGAAGAGTGCAGAGAAGATGGCTTCAAAAGAAGGCTTACAACAGCTGTACGTATTACTGTTGTCAGGGGTTATGTCAAGCTGTATCTCTAATATATATAAGAACTCTCAATGCATCAAGATTGCAAGATTTCCTTCTTTCTTTCCTTCCCATTTCCCCCCCCCCTCCCTTCCTCCCTCTATCCCTCCCCTCCCTCCTTTCCTTTCCTTTCCTTTCCTTTCCCTTCCCTTCCCTTCCCTTCCCTTCCTTTCCTTTCCTTTCCTTTCCTTTCCTTTCTCCTGTCCCCTTTCACCTTTCCCCTGCTCTTTTTTGACCCAGCACCATGTAGATGTCCACCACAACCTTAGCAAGCTAAACCCATCAACTGTAAAAACAATTTATTACTCGGCACTGGAGCTAAGATTTCCATTAAGATCTACGTTCACTGATACATGGAACGCAGCAGAAGCAATGAAAAGATTGCCCAGATAGGCATCCATTCGTGCAGAGATCACCGGACAGCCCTTATTCTTGCTATTAAAGAATTTTGAACCACCTAAACGCTTCTTACCTGACCTTCGAATTATACGTGAGTCTTGAAACAGGACCAGCCAAGTGAAAACAGAGAATTAAAGTCCTAGCTCTGAGTTGGAAGGAAACGGTGGGAATGTTTTCCCTTCAGGCACTTGGGTGTAGATGAAAATGAGTTTAAAACCTGCCAAAAGATGATTTGTTAGGCCGGGCTGCCTGATGCATTTACAGTTGCAACAAAACCTGATGTTTGCCAAAAAAAAAAAAAAAAGCACGCGAGGTGAAATCCATCAGTGTATGTCGGGGGTCTTCAAACTTGGCCCTTTTAGGATTTGTGGACTTCAACTCCCAGAATTCCTCAGCCAGCATGGCTCAGGTTGGAAACCTCTCCCTTTCCCCTCAGCATGGCTGGCTCAGGAATTCTGGGAGTTGAAATCCACAAGCAGGGGTCTTCAAACTTGGCCCTTTTATGACTTGTGGACTTCAACTCCCAGCATGGCTCAGCTTGGAAACCTCTCCCTTTCCCCTCAGCACGGCTGGCTGAGGAATTCTGGGAATTGAAGTCTACAACTCATAAAAGGGCCAAGTTTGAATACCCTTCCCAGAATTCCTCAGCCAAGCACGCTGGCTAAGGAATTCTGGGAGTTGAAGTCCACAAGTCCTAAAAGGGCCAAGTTTGAAGACCCCTGGTGTATGTACTTTGCTCCGAAACAAATAGCACTGGGTATGCTTCTCATGTAGACTACCTTCCCAAGATTGACAATCTGCGAGAAAGTGATTGGCTCAAGATCGTTCAGGTGTCTTCACGCCTGAGGCAGGACTAGAACTCATGATCTCTTGGTTTCTAGCCCAAATGCCTTTACCAGTACAATAAATCATCTCTCTCTCCTCATTACATTATATTATATTAATTATATATTATACCAATTATTATATTAATTATATATTATACCAATTATTATACTATACTATACTATACTATACTATACTATACTATACTATACTATACTACACTACACTACACTACATTACATTACATTACATTACATTACTACTATATATGCCGGCGTATAAGGCGACTTCCGCAAGCGCTAAAATCGGCGCCAAAGACAAGGGTCATCTTATACGCTGAATCGTCTTATACGCCAGAAATACTGGTAGTTTCCGGCGTATAAGACAACGTTCTAGGAATGCGACTCGGCGCCAAAGACGGGGGTCGTCTTATACGCCGGGTCGCCTTGTACGCCGGCATATACGGTATATTATATTATATTATATTATATTATATTATATTATATTATATTATGTTATAGTATAGTATAGTATTATATTATAGTATATTATTATTATTATATTAATTGTTATCCATGTCCAACTTTGGGTGATTCTATGGGCCAGATATCTCCACATCTTCCAATTTTTCAATGTTTCTTTGAGTTGTCCTATGCGATGGCTGGTGTCAACTTTGATGGTGTCCATCCCCTGTGTTCCTTAATGGTCTGGTTTCCTTTTACTGCTAACTCTTCCAAACATAATTGCTCCCTCCAGTGAATTCCCCCGTGTGACATGGGCCAAATAAGTGAGACACAGTTTTGTGATTTTGCCTTCCGGTGACATCTCTGGTGTTATGCGCTCCAGTATTTGTTTGTCACTCACCTTTGCTGTCCAAGGCATATTCGGGGGCCATCTCCAGCACCCCAGCTCAAACAAAGCCTATTTTCTTCCTGTCTCGCCTTTTCTAAGGTCCACTTTTCACAGCCATAGGTAGCTACAGGGAACTTTCGTATAAAGTGAATAAAAAAGCAAGGTTATATATCTAATCTTAAAATGCGCATCAGATTTGTTTTCCTCATTCAGCAAATGAAACATTTAATGCTGAGAAATGGAACATAAAGTCCCTTTTGAAGTTTCCCAAACAGATCTCATACCTGCTATGCAGGAGTAGACTTGCTTACAAAACCTAGCCATGTACGGGCAACGTTCCTCAACATTATCTGCTAGGACAAGCCCTGCTCCAGAAAACTGCACAGGGTGGAAAGTTTTCGGGATGAGACCGCTTGCAGCCGAACAAAAAGAAAGCAGAATGAAAGGAGGTATCTTTAGAGTTTACGCTCCTTTAACAACCTTGATTGGAAAGGAAAACTCTGATATCTTGCAATTTGTTGAAAATATAATTCACTTTGAAACATTCCGTTTTCTTGAATCCTCTGATCACTGATCACTGCAATGTGTGGGAGATAGTTTGTTAAATTTTGGCTACATCTGAAAGAAAAGGTTCATAAGAACGGCTTAGATCAGTGGTTCTCAACCTGTGGGTCGGGACCCCATTTGGGGTCGAACGACCATTTCACGGGGGTCGCCAAACAATGCAGTCCGCCATTTTTTCCCCCTTTTCCTTAGCTGTGCTACTCCCTTTTATTCTATTGGCTTTTGAAAGCCAATAGAATAGACTCTCTTGAATAGAGTCTAATTCTATTGGCTTTCAAAAGCCAATAGGAATTGTCCAGGCTGTCTCTGCCCTGCTGAGCCCGCCAAAAGTCCCAGTCTGCAAACGGTGCTGCAAGTTGTCTGCAGCGAAGGCGAGCTGTTTGGAAGTTTCCACCCCTCCCTGCTGAGCAACTACTAAAAATGTAAGTAAAACAGGGCCAGGGGTGGGAGGTGGGAGGCCGGCGGGCGCAGGGAGGGTTGCTAGCGCGTGTGGGGCCCGGCGGGTGCCTTACCTCCCTTGGGCTGGGCCAGCTGGTGGCCCAGCCAGTGGTCGTCCTGCGCCATCTCTGCCACTTGCCAGCTACGTCTCGGCCGGAGCAGGGGGCGCCACCACGCATGCACGGCGCTCCCGGGCAGGGAAAGTCCTCGACTTATGACCAGTTGGGTAGTCCTCGACTTACGACCAGTTGGGTAGTCCTCGACTTACGACCAGTTGGGGGTCACGGCATTAAAAAGGTTGAGAACCACTGGCTTAGAGTTTAAGAGAAAACCGAAGGTTAAAAGGTGCAAAGTCAGAAGAAATGCTATTGTGTCTAGCCTTCAAAATACTGAGAAGTTAAGTATGAACCCAGAACATAGACTCCTGGATTAAATAACCTTTAATTTTCTTTCTTGACAAAGTTTGTGTAACAACAGAGAGATGATAGAATGGATAGATAGAGATAGAATGGATAGATAGAGATAGATAGGTAGGTAGGTAGGTAGGTAGGTAGGTAGGTAGATAGATAGATAGATAGATAGATAGATAGATAGATAGATAGATAGATAGATAGATAGATAAGGGATGGATAGATATAGAAGGATGGATGGATGGATGGATGGATGGATGGATGGAAAGAGATAAATAGATAAGTAGATAGACAGATGGATAGATAGGAATAGATGGATGCATGGATATGTTGAAAGAAAAATCTTTATCAGGGTCCAGTCCAAGCCGGGAATAAACAAAATGGAGACTGCTTTAGAAAGAAGATTGTTGTTTATTGAAGAGGAGAGCCAGACAGAAAGATGGCTCTGGGAAAGCTGGCCACATGTAGTTGGCAGGAGTAGCCAACACCCCAGAAGACAAACTCAGGATCCAAAAAAATCTTGACAAACTTGAACCATGGGCCCGGTCCAACAAAATGAGTTTCAATGTAGAGAAAATCAAAGTTTTACATTTAGGAAGGAAAAATCAAAGGTTTAAGTACAGATTAGGCGAGACCTGGCTCAAAAACAGTAGGGACTTTGGAATCCCAGTGGACGATCATTTGACCATTTTCTCTCTTTCTCTCTCTCTCTCCCTCCCTTCCTCCCTCCCTCTCCCTCTCTCCATCTCTCCATTCCCCTAATTGTGGCATTCACTTTGACCCATTAATTCATAAAGTAATATTTCTGTAAATACCGTACTTAAAGAATTCAGTTATGTTTTCTTCTGTTTTGATGTTTTGCTGCCTTTGAAATTAAACCTCAAAATGAGGTCCCTGTGTGTACTATGACTGTTTTAATTCATAGATCTTTCTCCTTTATTAAATTGGAGTACGATCAAAGACATGAAATAATCCTATATAGATTTCCTCAATCACCTTGAGAGTTTATACAACATAAATCCCATGTAAGCCTTTACACTATGCATCAGTTGAAAACGATTTCTAAAATAAACAGTAGAATCTCTTTATTTGGACTAATTGTTCAGTTGCAACGAGGTGTTTGAAAACTCCATGACCCAATTAAGGAACATCATCAATGTTATAAGGGAAAGGGTCTGCAGAGAGAAGGAGGAGGAGGACTATGGGGTCCATGGTGCTCTCTCAGCTTGGTTATCCCAGAGATGCTTTTCCAAAAGGCAACTGGATTTTCTTATTTTTCTTTGAGATTCTTTGAATGTCCATAGCTCTGGTGCTAGTTGTTTTCTTGCAGATGTTTCATGACCCAACTAGGTAACATCATCAGTGCTCCAAAGGAATGGCGCCTGCATAGAAGAGGAGGACAGTATGGTCCATTGGTGCTGCCTTAAGCTTGGAGGTTTTCTTGCAGACGTTTCATGACCCAACTAGGTCACATCATAGGTGCAGGAAAGGAATGATGTTTGCAGAGAAGAGGAGCAGGACTGTGGGGTCTTTGGTGCTCTCTGAGCTTGTTTTGGTGCTCTAATGGGCTTGTTTTCCGGCAGACATTTCATTACCAAACTAGGTAACATCATCAGTGCCTATATAATCTTGCCCAGTTATGAATGAAACATCTGCAAGCAAACCACCAAGCTTAGCCAGCACATTTTTACATTTTAAAGGCTAAGAGAATTTCTCTACATCTACGAAGAGAAACGTTTTTATAAAACAAAAAACAAAACTCAGAATTTTCCTGCTTGAGCAGGGGGCTGGACTAGAAGACCTCCAAGGTCCCTTCCAGCTCTATTCTATTCTAACAACAGGCAACATTTGCAAAACGAAAGCCACCCATTCCTCCCCCCCCCCTCCCCGCCCCGGGAAAGGCAACAGCGCCCCCTACGGAAGAACGGCTCTAAAAACCAGATCCAGTTAAACTGCCCAGGGCGGGAAAGGGCTAGGGCAGGGGTAGGCAACCTTGGCTCTTTTATGACTCGTGGACTTCAACTCCCAGAATTCCTGAGCCAGCCACGCTGAGGGGAAAGGGAGAGGTTTCCAAGCTGAGCCAGGCTGGCTCAGGAATTCTGGGAGTTGAAGTCCACGAGTCATAAAAGAGCCAAGGTTGCCTATCCCTGGCCTAGGACTAGGCCGCTTCATGACTCGTGGACTTCAACTCCCAGAATTCCTGAGCCAGCATGGCTCAGCTTGGAAACCTCTCCCTTTCCCCTCAGCATGGCTGGCTCAGGAATTCTGGGAGTTGAAGTCCACGAGTCACAAAAGAGCCAAGGTTGCCTACCCCTAACCATAGAGGAGGAGGATAGAACGGCTTTCCTTTCCGATCTTTCCTTTTTTTTCCCCTGATTTTTCCTCCCCGGCCTCTTCCAGGAAGCGAAGGGGCGGGGTCCGCGAGGGGGCGGGAGCGGCGTTCTCATTGGCCCCGGGTTTGCCGACGTCGCGGCGTTCTGCTCGGCGCGCGCGCCGCGGCTTCTCTCTCTCTCTTTCTCTCTCTGCCTCTCTTCGCTTCCGAGCGTCGCACGGCGCCGCTCGGCTGTTCGGCTCGCCGCCCGAGCGGACCCGAAGCTGCTACTGCTGCTGTGGCTGCTGCTGAGATGCGGCGGGGAAGGTGAGAGCCCCCCCCCCTCGGCCGCGCCCCCCCCTTCCCGGTGGGTCTGGGCCCCCCCTCGCCTTTCCCGGTTCCGGTTTGGCGCACGTGACCCCGCGTGCATCCCTCTTTGTGCGCTGCACGTGTGAATGTTGTTCACGGGAAAGAAGCGGGGGGCTCTCCCGCCCTGCTTTTCAGCAGAGGCGAGGAATTGGGGGGTCGGGGATGGCAAAGGGCTTTCGTCGTTAAGCGTTACCTGTCGGGGCTTTGAACCTGTCCCTGGTGCTGACGTGTGAATGCGACCCAGGTCGGGCAGGATGCAAAAGGGACTCGGTTTGCAAGTTGCAGCTTCGGCCATGCGCTTGGACTGATTTGTTTTCTGGGTGTGGAATAGGACGTGCCAAGTTAAATCACCCTTTAAAGTAGATTTCGTTGTTTGTGTGGGCAGTGTGTGTGATCTCTGCTTGTGGCTTGTTTCTCTTTCCTCTTTGCCTAAGGCTTGTTCCTTAATAAAATTGTAAGTATAACGCTTTCTGAGCGAGTACAGGTAGTCCTGGACTTACGACCACGATTAAGCCCAAAATTGGGGCATTCGTTAAGGGAGTTTTGCCCTATTTTACGACTTTTCTTCCCACAGTTGTTAAGTAAACCATTGCCGTTATTAAGTCGGCAACCCGGTTGTTAAGTGTGAATCTGGCTTCCCCCCGCTGACTTTGCTCATCACAAGGTCGCAAAAGGGGATCACGTGACCCCAGGGACATTGCACCCGTCATAAATGTGGGTCACTTGTCAAGCATCCGAGTTTTTTGATCGCTTGACCGTGGGGATGCTGCAACGGTCGTGAAATGTGAAAAACAGTTGTGAGTCACTTTCCCGGTGCTGTTGTAACTTTGAATGGCCACTAAATGAACGGTTGTAAATCGAGGGCTGTCTGTAGTGACTAAATCACAGGGGGGCTTAATTGAGAATTGATTGAAATATTGTTGCTTTTGAGTAAAAGTGGTGGCAAACTTGGCTGAATTAGAGCTGAGACTTTTTTTTCAACCCCCCCCCCAACTCTTAAATCAGTTTGCATTTTGACATCTGTCAGTTGCAACCCTCTTTTTTGCAGGTTGACTATCTTGCAGTAGCCCCATTCTCATGATCGCTGGGGAGATTAATAGAGAGCACCCCCTCATTTCAACCCTGAGCTATAAATAGTGGTGTTCAATTGCCGTGTCTGGTCGGTGCTGGCAGATGTAGTTGTGCTTGTTCAAGGTTTCTTTTGTGGACAAGGAAAAATTAGTGGCGTGATACAATTTTGATTTGGTAGCGTTATGAACGCGTTGTGCAGAAGCACCCAAAATCCTATAAGATCTGTTAAAATAAAGGATTGCTTATTGCCATGGAAATGTATAATCTTCTCTGTGATGCTTTTAGAGGTTGTTCTCTTTCAGTTTTAGTTCTGACGTAAAAGCCATAAGTTCAGATGACACATTTCCTTAAAACAGCTGTGGGCAATATAATAGTAAAACTAATACATAATTGTGGGGTGTTTGTGTGAAGGCGTTGGCCTGCTCTTGAAAATTAAGACACGTTCTTTTGTGGGTTGACTTGGGAGGGCACCGATCAAGGCGTAGGATTAAAGAGGAACACAAAAGGTCCAAATTTACATGTTTCCCCTATTCTCATTAACTCTTCTAGAACTACAAAATTAAAAAATAAATAAATGAAATCCATCAAGCTATTCCTGGAATCTCAGATTGGTGAATTAACTGAAAAGGATGTCAGAGAGAGAGAGAGAGAAAAACATACATGGAGAAGAATTTAAAAAATCCCTTAAGATGTTTCCGTCTTCCTTCCTTGTTTTTTATTGAATAAGTCGTTCAAGGCAATTTGGCAGTTGCTGATAGGCTGCCTTGCTAGAGGTGCACATTAGAAAGAGAAGCAGCTAAGTTGCAGAACGGGATTGTGTTTGACGTTAAAAAAAAAAGGAAAAGTCAATATCCAACACAGTTCACGCTTGAGTGTACTGCAACATTATGGCTGTAAAAGTTGGCATAATCTTTGTTTTTCACTTCTGTAACTGTTATACTACACACACACACACACACACAGCCTTTTGAAGAGCTAGGTGTGCGCTAGGTCAGAGGTCCCCAACCTTTTGGGCACCAGGGACCAGTTCCGTGGAGAAAGGTTTTTCCACGGACCGGAGGGTGTGTGGTTTTGTGTGCTACTTGCATCCCACAGAGGGGGCTTTGCTTGTTTGTGTGGACTGGTTGCTGGCATGCCACGGACCAGGACCGGTCCACGGACCGAGGGTTGGAGACCCCTGCGCTAGGTGCTTCACTCATCCTTTACAAAAGGGGAATTACGGATTAAAATCCCCAGGGTTGGTAGCAGTGTGCAGACCGTTCCTTCCTTGCTGCAATACAGGTAGTCCTTGACTTATAACAGTTCACTTAGCGGACCGTTCAAAGTTACAATGGGACTGAAAAACGTGACTTACAACCGCTTTTCACAATTACGATCTTTGCAGCATCTCCATAATTATGTGATTCAGACGCTGGGCGACTGGTTCCTATTTATGACCGTTGCACTATCCCAAGGTCATGTGATCCTCCTGATAAGCAATGGGGAAACCAGATGCACTTAACTACTGGCTTCCTAACTTATCAGCCGCAGTGATTCCCTTAACGACTGTGGCAAGAAAGGTTGTAAAATGGGGCAAAACTCATTTAACAACTGTCTTACTTAACAGCAGAAATGTAAGGACTTAGATCCTTCCAGGCCTTTCTGTAGCTCTTGTTTATGGCACAGTCATGAGTCACTGTTTTCAGTGACTTCAAACAGTCGCTAAATGAACGGTTGTAAGTTGAGCACTATCTGTGTAAAAGATAAACCAGTGTTAAGATGCAGAATCCTAACATTACCCTATTTTTTTTTTTAGCTCTGCTGCTTATTGCATAAACTTCACTGTCATATTTTCCAAGGCAGAATTCTGTGTGCCTGATGTTCTAACAAGATACACACTCAGGGTTATAAGGAAACTAGTTGACACTTTGGAAACGGACAGGAAATTGAGCAGGAGGTATCAAGTGTCAGGTTAAATTGGCCCTTTAAGTAGATTTTGATTCTTGTGTGGGCCGTGCGACCTCTGCTTGTGGCCTGCTCCTTAATAAGTAGTTAGTATAAAACTTTCTGTGGTTAGTTCTGACTAAATCGCAATGGGGTGCCTTGGACGACTCAGAATTGATTGAAAATCCCCGTGGCTTTTGAGTAAAAAATGTGGCTTGACTGAAGGAAAGCTGAGGTTTTTCAAACCCCCAAATTAGGGCTCTATTGATTTCTTATTGTTAGGTTTTTATAAACCTTGTCAAAGCTTTGAGGCCCTGGGGCAGATTAAGCTGCTCCGACAGCCTCCAGTCTTTGCAAGGCTTACAGTGTTCCCCCCCCCCCCACCAGCTTCATTGTAGATTTATTTGACTTATTTTCTAAGAAAGTTATGTCTTCCTATGGATGCCTTTGAATTGGAGCGTCAGGTTTTATTTTGGAAATGGATGGTGTTTTCTAGGTGTAGAACCCTTCCTTCTCTAATGAGATAAACTAACCGAATAATAGATCTGGAAGGGACCTTGGAGGTCTTCTAGTCCAACCCCCTGCTCAAGCAGGAGACCCTATACCATTTCAGACAAGTGACTGTCCAGTCTCTTCTTAAAAACCTCCAGTATTGGAGCATTCACAGCTTCTGGAGGCCGGTTGTTCCACTGGTTAATTGTCCTGTCAGGAAATTCCTCCTTAGTTCTAGGTTGCTTCTCTCCTTGATTAGTTTTCATCCATTGTTACTTGTCCTGCTTTCAGGGGCTTTGGAGAATAGGTTGACACCTTCTTCTTTGTGGCAACTTCTCAAATACTGTTGTTGTTAGTTGCGCAGTCATGTCCGACCCATCGCAACCCCATGGACCACGTTCCTCCAGGCCTTCCTGTCCTCTACCATCTTCTGGAGTCCATTGAAGCTCACGCCTACTGCTTCAGTGACTCCATCCAGCCACCTCATTCTCTGTCGTCCCCTTCTTCTCTTGCCCTCCATCTTTCCCAGCATCAGGCTCTTCTCCAGGGAGTCCTTCCTTCTCATTAGGTGGCCAAAGGACTTGAGTTTCAACTTCAGGATCTGGCCTTGTAAGGAGCAGTCGGGGTTGATCTCCTCTAGGACTGACCGGTTTGATCTGCCTTGCAGTCCAGGGGACTCACAGGAGTCTTCTCCAGCATCACAGTTCAAAGGCCTCAATTCTTTGGCGCTCCGCCTTTCTTATGGTCCAACTTTCACAGCCATCCATTGCAACTGGGGAAACCATGGCCTGGACTATGCCTTCAAATACTGGAAGACTGCTATCATGTCACCCCAAGTCCTTTTCATTAAACTAGACATATCCAGTTCCTGCAACCGTTTGAATCAGGTGGGCTTTTCATTTTTAGAAGAAGGAAACAAAGTTGTGAAACATATCCACTCCATGTGGCAGCTTTGACAATGCATCTGCTGACATTTTTCTTACTTAAGTCAACTTATCTGAACCTCGCCCACGTTTACAAATATTTGTTAGCATGTGGTCTAGCACAGTCCACTTCTGGGCACAAAGAAACTGATTTGTATTTAACATTTGTAGCATTAACCTCTGTATTCAGAGGTTAATCACCCTGTGTTCTGTGAGCTTCAGAAGAAAGGTTTCTAGCTGTGTATAAAATGTTAGGTCTATAATTTCCTGGATCCATTTTTTTCCTTTTTTGACGATGGGAACTACATCAGGTAGTTTCCAGTCCTCTGGTAGTTCCCCAGTACTCCAGGATCTTTGAAAAATGTAGTTCAGTGGTTCTGAGATCACATCTGCCAGTTCCTTGAGAACTTTGGGGTGTAATCCATGTGGGTCCTGGTGATTTGAACTCGTCTAGGCTGGACAGGTGCTCACTTACCATTTTCTTGCCTATCTTAACTTGTGTTTCTATTCTGTTTTTTATGGCACTATTTTTGGTAGGTTGGTCTGTTTTTTTCCCTTTGTGTAAAGACAGGTGCAAAAAACGAGTTAAATAGTTCTGCTTTCTCCCTGTTGCTTGTCACCTTCTTGTCACTTTCCCCCACTAATGGGCCAATCATTTCCTTCACTTTTTTCTTGTTTTTTACATGTTGAAAGAAGCTTTTTGTTGTTGTTGTTGTTATTTTTGACTTTGGTCGCAAGCCTTAGTTCATTTTGAGCCTTAGCTTTCCTCACTTCATCTTTGCAGCCTCGGGCTATTTGCTGATATTCTGCAAATATTGGCGTCATTCTGTATTCCAAGAGAAATCAATTCAGTGAAATGTCTATGGAGATTCTTAGTCTATCCAGGTCATGCTTGTCCCAAAGGTGCTTTTTTCAAAAGGCAACTGGACTTTCTTGGTTTTCTTTGAAGACATTTCACTTCTCATCCAAGAAGCTTCTTCAGCTCTGAAGAAGCTTCTTGGGCAAGAAGCGAAACTTCTTCAAAGAAAAAAACAAGTCCAGTTGCCTCTTGAAAAAAGCATCTCTGGGACAATTCAGTGAAATGTTAACGGCTTCCTAGAAATTTCCTGCCTAAAATATGAGAGAATAATTTAGCAACGATTCACAGACACGCAATGCTTTGGTGAGACTTGAGTTGTTACCTGTGGAAAAATAACAAGCGTTTTAATGCTTATGTTTTCAAGTTATTTGTTACAGAGTAAAGGGAATACTTGTGGGACGTGCATTTAGTGCAGACTGTAATTAGAAGCCAGGCAAAAGTGTTTTGTTTTTTTTGTTCATTGCTGTTATTCTGTTTACATCGTGCCATGATTGATAACATGAGGCCCTGTCCAGTCGGGACGCCTGAATTCTATTTATTGGGCTTTCGTTCATTTTGATAATGGCAAACAGTGTGTATCTCGTTGATATCTCATGAAACTGTGTGCGAAGAAAAGGATGGGGATGGGGATGGAACAGAACAGGGAATAGTAGAGTAGAGTACAAGAACAAAAAATAGAATAGAAATAGAATAGAAATAGATTAGAATAGAATAAATGGAGTGGAGTAGAGTAGAGTAAATAGAATAGAAGAATGAAGAATAGAAATAGAATAGAATACAATAAGTGGAGTAGAGTAGAATAGAATAGAGTAATGTAGAATAGAATAGAGTAATGTAGAATGGAATGGAATAGAATAGAATAGAATAGAATAGAATAGAATAGAATAGAATAGAATAGAATAGACGGAAGAGTCCTTGGAGGGCATCTAATCCAACCCCCTGCTCAGGCAGGAAACCCTATATCATTTCAGACAAATGGTTGTCCAATCTCTTCTTAAAAACCTCCAGTGTTGGAATATCCATAACTTCTGGAGGCAGGTTGTTCCACTGGTTAATTGTTCTCACTGTCAGGAAGTTTCTCCTTAGTTCTAGGTTGCTTCTCTTCTTGATTAGTTTCCATCCGTTGCTTCTTGTCCTGCCTTCAGGCGCTTTGGAGAATAGCTTGACTCCCTCTTCTTTGTGGCAGCCCCTGAGATATTGGAACACTGCTATCATGTCCCCCCTTGTCCTTCTCTTCATTAAACTAGACATACCCCAATTCCAGCAACCGTTCTTTATATACATGAAGGTGTAGTTGGCTCCGGATTATTATGGGAATTCTACATTGGGAAGAAGGCTGTCTTGACATGAGATCACACGATGGTGCTGGGTGACCAGATGTGACTCCATCCATTTTTTTATGTTGATAATTCCCAAGGATAGTCAGAAAAGTCAAGAGGGTGACCACCGCCATACAATCAAAGTCCCACCTGTTTTACACGTGATGTAACTTTTTTGACCCCCTCCCTGTACTACACCTAACCGCCCCCGACTTACAGCCATTCATTTAATGACTGTTTGAAGTTAAAACAGCACTGAAAATGTGACTTATGACATTTTTTTTCCATTTAACTCTGTTGTTTAACAGTTTTGCTTTCGTTTGTTCACTTTTTTGAAGTCTTGGAATCTTTCTCAACATCGTTCCCTTGGCTTTTTTTCCAGCTTCTTCATGTTGGGCTGTTTTTTTTTAAAAAAAAAAAATCTTTGACTTGCCCATGGCTGTCAGTTTGATAGATTTTTGTCTAAAATCCTTTGCAGACAAAATTAAGTGTCTAAAAGCCGAGGAATGATGCTATGCAGCCTAACAGGCAACATAAAGGCAGCGAAGGGGCTGCCCTCTGCCCCCCTATTAATACCTGCACCCCCTCCTAAATTGGGTTAAAAGCAAAATCATTGCAAATAAAATAAACTGACATCTTGGCAGATCCTATATGAATACGGTGAATTGCAAAAATCTCCCCTTAGAATATGCAAACTCTGCATTATTTGCACCAACGCTGATAAATTCTTGGTTGAGGTTTTTGCCTGACTTGCCGTAAAGACTCAGCTGTATTTTTTTTTTAGAATTTTTCTGCTTCTCTGACCTTCTTCTGTAACTTCACAATCTGTATTTTTTGCTTCAGAATCTCTGTCCAAAACCCAGTCAGATTCCGTCCCTTTTGCTAACACAGAAGAAACAGATAATCGAGGTAATGTTGTTCAGTCTTTGGATATGTGTGTGTGTGTGTGTGTGTGTGTGTGTGTGTTTGCTTTGTTTCAAACCTGTGCTTTCATGAGTGAAATTGTCTTGTGTTTTAACGGGTTTAGCTTTCCAGCGAAATTCCAGATAAAGTGCTTTTAAGCACAGCTTGGTATCCGTAAATGGAAAAAGCCGAAGGGAAATTTGCATAATTCATGGCCCATGTTGAAAGAAAGAAAGAGAGAGGAAGGAAGGAAGGAAGGAAGGAAGGAAGGAAGGAAGGAAGGAAGGAAGGAAGGCCAATCCACAGTCCAAACAATGTTACGGTCTGTGGGAGACTTTTTTTTTTTAAATGTCTTTATTGCAGTCTGAAAACTGGAATTGTGGATTTATCTATGTTACAGTCAGGTTATAATATTCTAGGCAGAGTCAGGTATGAGTAAATCCATAGGTGTAGCGAAGCGTGAGCATCAGGAAGAGAAAATTAGCCGATGGAGGAGGAGTGCTTAGGTTGCAAAGTACCCCCTCAATAAATTTCAAGAGTAAGAATAAAACTGGACAGGATTTTAGCATAAATCAAGATTAATTAATAAGGGCGTGCAGCATTTTGGATTCAAAAGCAAAACCATGCTTTGGAGTACAGAGTGCAAGCATAAACCCTATTTACAGCTCCTTTAAGCAGCTATAGAGAGCCATTTTTGTCTAGTGGTTTAGGCACCAGGCTAGAAACTCGTATTGAAGGAAAAGTCTTCATCGTGGTTCAGTCCAAGCCGGGAATAAACAACATGGCGACTGCTTTAGAAAGAAGGTTGCAGTTTATTGAAGAGGAGAGCCAGACAGGAAGATGGCTCTGGAAGAAAAGAGAGAATGAGCACATGTAGGGAATGGGTTTTTATACCTTCTTGAGCTTTTTGTTTGGAGTTGTTCCTGTGGCATGAAGTTTGACCTGAGTCTGAGTGTGCCTTTCTGGTATTCTGTTGGTGGTGGGTTAATCCTAGTATGTCCCAAAGGTCAATCCTGCTTCCCTGGGGCTGATGGCTGGATTTTGGATTTTTGGTATGTTGATTCTAGGGATCTTTCTTCCTAATCCCAATTTCCTGACTCCAGTCTTTCTGACAAGATTTATCACATCTGCATTCTGCAGACTTGGTTTCTGTTTGGGACAGAGAGACTTGGGGGCAGGGGTTGGCTTCTGCTTTTAAAATCCTTTAGGGAAATATATTCTGCCTTTTAAATATTTCTGGGGGGGGGGGGCTGACTTCCCACAGTAGCCTACGCTAGAAACTAGGAGACAGTGAGTTCTAGTCCTATCTTAGGTACGTTGGGCCAGCTAATCTGTAAACCGCTCAGAGAGGGTTGTGAAGCTCTGTGAAGCGGTATATACATCTAAGTGCTATCGCTATTCCTCCTTCCCTCCCTTTTCCCCTTTCTGGTTCTCCTTCCATGGTGTGAGAGTGGTTAGAATGCAGCTTTTCAGGCTGACTCTGCCCACAGCCAGGAGTTCGATCCTGACCGGCTCAAAGTTACTCAGTCTTCCACCCTTCCGAGGTTGGTAAAAGGAGGACCCAGATTTTTTTTTTGGGGGGGGGGGCATATGCTGACTCTGTAAACTGCTTAGAGAGGGCTGCAAAGCCCTGTGAAGCGGTATATAAGTCTAAAGGCTATTGTGATTGCTCTCCTTTCAAATTGAATTTGGATTTAATTTCGTGCTATAAATATCTTTTCCCCGTGGTTGAAGCAATAGCTAATGCTGATCTTCTGATATCTGAGGGCAGTGATGTTGAACCTTTTAGAGACCGTGCGCCCCAAAACCACCCCCACCCGCCCGCAGGGCCACCCACTACCTCCCCGGCCCACCACAGATGGTCCAGGTGGCTCACCAGCGCTATGGTGGCCATGCCCTCTGCCCGTGCCCCGCAGCATCTTCTGCGCGTGACGGGGTGCAAGGGTGGAGTCGTCCTTGCCGCCTGGGTGCCGTGTCCTTTGTTGCGCTGCTCTGCATGGGCTGCGCTCGGGGGCGACTCTCCGGGGGGGCTGCTGGTGAGGAGGGGTCCATGGGGGGAGGCGGGGCTGGGGCGACAGCGCACGTGCCCACAGAGAGGACTCTGAGTGCCCCTCTGTCACGCGTGCCATAGGTTCGCCACCACGGTCTTAGGGGCAAGAAGACGGAGCTAGACTGTTAACCCCACTAAGGATCTCTTGTTGGTGCGGCATCCGTCTCGCCCAGTTTCACGCGTGACGAACCTGTTCAGCTGCTGGGCTCGAGGCGAACGCTTGCGGTTTTGTCTCCATTCAGTGACGCTCCTGCCGAAGCCGCGTCTCTATGAAGGAGGGATCTGCTGAGGGATCTGTTGAAGATGAGGCGACTGAATCGGAAGAAGACTTTGAATTTAGTGAAAGAATTGGACGCCTTCCCGAAGATTCCAGATAGCTACATCGAGACCTCAACAAGTGGAGGAACAGGTGAGCCCGGCTGATCGGTTGGCTTTGTGCTTTGGGAGTAGAGATAGTCCCCAACTTACAGCAGATGGTTTAGTGACCGTTCAGAGTCACGAAGGCACTGGAAAAAAAGAGACGTATGCACGTTTTTTCACACGTCATGACCATTGCAGCGTTTCCCACGGTCACGTGATCAAAATTCAGATGCTTGGCAAATGACTCATATTTATGACGGGCGCAGCGTCCCCCCGGTCATGAGAGCCCCTTTTGCGACCTTCTGACAAGTTAAGGGAAACCAAATTCACTTAACCTGACAACAGCAGCGCTTCCCTGAACGGTGGTGGCAAGGAAGGTCGTAAAATGGGGCAAAATTCACTTAACAACTGACTGGCTTAGGAGCAGAAATTTTGGGCTCAATTGTAGTCGTAAGTCAAGGACTGTCTGTAGAATCATAAAATGATAGAATCACAAGGCTGGAAGGGACCTTGGCTCCCTAGCAGGAGTTTTTATACCAGCCTAGGCCAGGGGTAGGCAACCTTGGCTCTTTTATGACTTGTGGACTTCAACTCCCAGAATTCCTGAGCTAGCATGGGGGAACTATGGTCCCTTCATGACTTTGGACTTCAACTCCCAGAATTCCTGAGCCAGCATGGCTCAGCTTGGAAATCTCTCCCTTTCCCCTCAGCGTGGCTGGCTCAGGAATTCTGGGAGTTGAAGTCCACAAGTCTTAAGGTTGCCAAGGTTGAGGACCCCTGATATAGGGCAGGGGTGGGGAACCTTGGTTCTTTTATGACTCGTGGACTTCAACTCCCAGAATTCCTGAGTCAGCCACGCTGAAGGGAAAGGAAGAGGTTTCCAAGCTGAGCCACGCTGGCTGAGGAATTCTGGGAGTTGAAGTCCACGAGCCATAAAAGAGCCAAGGTTGCCTACCCCTGCACTTGAATCTATAGAATCACTTAGTCTATTAATGTATACTTTAAAGCCACCTACGGACACATCGTTGATGGCCCATAACCCACAAGATGTCAAGGTCTTCATCGAAATTGATGGACGAACAACATACTTTAAAGCTAATGTATTAATGTATAGCTTCTCCCAGTCGATGCCATTTTCATCTCATTATGTACTTCTTTTTTTAGTTTCTCTAATCGCTTTTACAACCATGGCTCTCTTAACCATAATGGAGTTTACGGTCTATCGAGACACCTGGATGAAATACGAGTATGAAGTCGACAAGGATTACACTAGGTAATACTTCCCCCTTCAGCTTGTATTGACTGTACGGGACTTTAATCTGTTTTTGTTTTTTTTTTTAAACAATCTTGATGCCTTAAGGGCCACCGTTTCAAAATCCTCACATTAATTCTTGAGATCTTGATAACAGGAACACCAGGTGGTTCAGAAAAAACAAAATTGTTATGCGTCTCCTGGGACATAAGAAAGAAGAAACATGCTCGCTCCACCTTTCAAGAGTGGATCCAAATAGATTTGTTTAGGAATAAAGCTTTTAAACAGCCAAGCTGTTTAAAACCGAGAAAGCTGGATTATCCCAGAAGCTCATTAGAGAGATTTAGTGAAAGGAAAAGGGGTGAGTTTACTGTATTTGACAACTGCTTTTGTATATGCTTTGGCCTCCTGTTTATCAATGAGTGTAATTAGACGAGCCCTCCTCGATGTCATTTTATTTATATTTTATTATTTTATTTGTATTTTATTTTATTATTTTATTTGTATTTTATTTTATTATTTTATTTATATTTTATTCTATTCCATTTATATTTTATTTTATTATTGTATTTATATTTTATTTTATTATTGTATTTATATTTTATTTTATTATTGTATTTATATTTTATTTTATTTTATTCGTATTTTATTATTTATATATTTTATTATTTTGTTTTAATGGTATTGTACTCCGCCTTTTATTATTTTTATAAATAACTCAAGGCATGGGAGATATCCAATCTTCCTCCTCCTAATTTTTCCACAGCAACCACTCTGTGAGGTGAGTCTGGCTGAGAGAGTGGTACTGGCCCAAAATCACCCAGCTGGCTTTCATGACTAAAGTTGGACTAGAACTCACAGTCGCCTGGTGATTGGCCCAAAGTCACCCAGCTAGCTTTCATAATTAAGAACTAGAACTCATAGTCGCCTGGTGATTGGCCCAAGGTCACCCAGCTAGCTCTCATGTCTAAGGCAGGACTAGAACTCACAGTCGCCTGGTGATTGGCCCAAAGTCACCCAGCTAACTTTCATGACTAAGACAGAACTAGAACTCAGTCTCCTGGTGATTGGCCCAAGGTCACCCAGCTAACTCTCATGTCTAAGGCAGGACTAGAACTCACAGTCGCCTGGTGATTGGCCCAAAATCACCCAGCTAGCTTTCATGACTAAGACAGAACTAGAACTCAGTCTCCTGGTGATTGGCCCAAGGTCACCCAGCCAGCTTTCATGGCTAAGGCAGGACTAGAACTCACAGTCGCCTGGTGATTGGCCCAAAGTCACCCAGCTAACTTTCATGACTAAGACAGAACTAGAACTCAGTCTCCTGGTGATTGGCCCAAGGTCACCCAGCCAGCTCTCATGTCTAAGGCAGGACTAGAACTCACAGTCGCCTGGTGATTGGCCCAAAATCACCCAGCTAACGTTCATGACTAAGACAGAACCAGAACTCAATCTCCTGGTGATTGGCCCAAGGTCACCCAGCCAGCTCTCATGTCTAAGGCAGGACTAGAACTCACAGTCGCCTGGTGATTGGCCCAAAGTCAACCAGCTAGCTTTCATGCCTAAGGCAGGACTAAAACAGTCGTCTGGTGATTGGCCTACGGTCACTCAGCCAGCTTTCATAGCTAAGGCAGGACCAGAACTCCCTGTCTCCTGCTTTCTACTCTGGCGCCTTAATCACCAGACCAGAGATAGGCAACCTTGGCTCTTTTACGACTCATGGACTTCAACTCCCAGAATTCCCGAGCCAGCCACGCTGAGGGGAAAGGGAGAGGTTTCCAAGCTGAGCCATGCTGTCTCAGGCATTCTGGGAGTTGAAGTCCACGAGTCGTAAAAGAGCCAAGGTTGCCTACCCCTGCACTAGACCAAGCTGGCAATCCTAAGATCCCCCACTCTTGATTTAAGAGGAGACTGCAGCTCTTTCAGAAGATACAAATAGAAGCTCCATCTGTTCTCTCTGACAGTGTTTTGCAAACGCTCATTTCTGTTCTTACGCTCCTTTTGTCAGTTCTGCCGAAATCCATTCAAATATCTGGGTATTCTGGGAGCAATTTCTATTTCAGTGGAATACCGTTTGATTTCTGGAGAGGGGAGATATTTATGGCCTAACAGCTGCCTCTTTTTCAGCTGATTTTGCTGCCCCTCAGAAGAGGGACCAGTTTAAGCTCATCCCACAGTCATTGTTAAAGCATTAGAAATTGGGTGTGGGATATCTCCACAGCATCTTTTGTTCACAACCCCCCCCCCTCCAGATTGAAACACAACTTGTCTTAACATTTGTTTTCCAGTTAAGTTGTTGTTGCGAAGTCGTGTCCGACCCATCGCGACCCATGGACAATGTTCCTCCAGGCCTTCCTGTCCTCTACCATCTTCTGGAGTCCATTGAAGCTCACGCTTAGTGCTTCAGTGACTCCATCCAGCCCCCTCATTCTCTGTCGTCCCCTTCTTCTCTTGCCCTCCATCTTTCCCAGCATCAGGCTCTTCTCCAGGGAGTCCTTCCTTCTCATGAGGTGGCCAAAGGACTTGAGTTTCAACTTCAGGATCTGGCCTTCTAAAGAGCAGTCGGGGTTGATCTCCTCTAGGACTGACCGGTTGGATCGCCTTGCAGTCCAGGGGACTCGCAGGAGTCTTCTCCAGCACCAGAGTTCAAAGGCCTCAGTTCTTTGGCGCTCAGCCTTTCTTATGGTCCAACTTTCACAGCCATCCATTGCAACTGGGAAAATCATGGCCTTGACTATCCGCACTTTTGTTGGCGAGGTGTACTCCAGTTAAGTACAGTATAATAAATCCATTCCCTCATCTCCATTGATCTTCTTTAAACATCCCAGTTCTTCTCGGTTCTGTCAGAAAGCAGGGTGGGATTATGGAGCCCTTCCCTTCAAATAATGCATTTCCTGGGCTCTTTTTGTGAGTTCAAATGATAGATAGGGGTGGCAGTTGAGCCAACCTTACCATTGTCAAGGATATTTTGGGTCATCACGATGGGGGGGGATGTCAGGGTCGGTGTCCTTCTATTTATAAGGGCTTGAGGTGTGGGTGTGTTACATGTCAAGGTAACGATTTAGAAGCTAACCAGCTTGTATAATGTGAGATGAATGTTGCAATGTTAGGAATGACTCAGCAGGAGCTTGTATCCCTTTAAGAACTTGAGTATAAAAGGGAAGGCTTTTTGCTGGAGTCTTTCTCTCTCGTCCTTTTCCTGCTGTAATTGCTGTGTATCGGAGTTTGCTGAATCACCATGTGCATGGATTTTGTTCCTAGTGTATTTTGTGGATAATGCACTATAAACCACCATTTAATACAAACCACTGTTTACTGTATTTACTCCTGGGTTACCTCAGCGCAATAAGACTGCATGCTCTGACAGTCAAGGATATTTTTGGTCATCTGAAAGGGGGGATATCAGTGTTGGTGTTCTGTTTATAAGGGCTTGAGGTGTGTGTGTGTCACATGAGAGTCTTGGGCCTTGTGATGGGGAGGTTACATCAGATGAGGGTCAAGGGCCAAGACCCATCACAACCCCTCACTGATGACTCACACCTCACTGATCACAAGACCCACACTCGACACTCCCACACCTCAAACCCTTATAAACAACATTGACATCCCCCCTCAATTTCACTGAAGATGTTACTTAGCCTGGTAATGAAACGTTCGGAACCCGAACCCACAACCTTCACCCTCACTTCTGTTTAAATATGGCTTCAGTTTCTAACAAACCTAGTTTATCCCTGGTTGGTATAGATATCTCCATAACTCTTAATCATGTTTGAAACTGGCAGAAAGACCCATAGAGATTCATGCTTTAAAATACAATCCGTGGCTGGTTCTGTTGTTCATCTTTTTTTTCCTTTTTTTTACATTTTTTTATTAGTTTATAATATACAATACAAAAATAGGAAAAATAGGGGAGGGAAGAAGAGAAGGGAAAGGTGTAGGAAAAGGGGGAAAAAGAATAAGATAATAACATCAAACCTCAACTTTTTACTTTTACATCATAGTATAAACCAGCCGTTTCTATGACAACAAATCTATCTAATCGGTAAACCCAAAATCAAAGTTTCATATTTTTTTTTCCACCTCAAGCACAAAGTCCAGAAGTGGTTTCCAAGTAGAAACAAAAGTAATTGTGTTTTTTTTCTTTTATCAAAGCAGTCAATTTAGCCATCTCTGCTAACTCCATCATCTTTTGCAGCCATTCACATCCAAGGTGTGAGGATCAAAGTGTCCTTCCGTTTCGGTGCATAAAGTAATCTTGCTGCCGAACATCAAAGTGCCATTTTTTTTCCCCAACTCTTTTTCCATTAAACCCCAAAGAAAAGTCTCTGGTTTTATCTTTATATTCACTTTGAGAACCGTCTGTATTAAGATGTGAATCCTACTCGGATATTTCTTTGCCTGTTGTTCAGTCTGTCAAGCTGGGAGTTTACATGCATTTATTAGTCTCCTGCTGGTCTGTTGTGTATGTGCGGCCTGTTGTGTATGTGCCTTTGGGGCACCAAGAACATCTTGCGTCTCTGCTGGAAGCTGAAGTAATTTTTAACACTTTTGGAAATAATAGTTGCTTGTTTAGATTCTTTGTGTTGTTGTCATGGAGATAAACAAGCAATGTCTGCCTCAGCCAGAAACCTATAGGCAGTGCTTGCAAATTTCAAGATATAACAATCATTGGTAACAGGTCCCAGTGAAAAGCATTATTTTTATGGATTTTTCTTTTCTTTGCCTTCAAGTTAAAAAGGATTGTGCTGCTCCCCATTCCCCATGTTGCATCAGAGTTCATAAATGTTTTCATTCGCACTCTTCGAATACTCCAGTGTTTCTTCTAAAAAACACAGCATGTCTCTGTCACAATTATTTGATCATTGTTTTATCGGTGTTTCTTCAAAAAAAGCACAGCATGTCTCTATCACAATCATTTGATCATTGTTTATCGCTCTTCAAAAAAAGCACAGCATGTCTCTGTCACAATCTTTTGATCATTGTTTTATCGGTGTTTCTTCAAAAAAAGCACAGCATGTCTC